GAATTTTCATATACATAATGCATCTGATACTAGTGCATGAAATATATAAATTTAATAGATAGGTAAGCTTGTGTTTTGTCTTAAGTTTTCTGAGACAAAATGTGCTTTCAAGTCGAAAAAAAAGAGAAAATTCGGAAATTGACATACATGTATTTTCTGACTTTCCTGTGACCTCTGTGTTTCATATCACTTAGAATCAAAACTAATTTTGTAACAGGGATGAAAACAGGTTTTTGATGATGAACTATTGCATCCTTCATATTATAGACACATAAAACCAGGGGTCGAAAAGGTGTCTTCGGATACCTTGTCCTTTGCTATAATAAGAAACATTTTCAATATTTTCATATACAAATTGTTTTGGTTAAAAGAAATATCAAAAAAAAAAAAAAAAAAAAAAAAAAAAAAAAAAAAGAGAGAGAGAAATATTTCTGTCCTAATTAAAAGAATAGAGAATTATCTTTTATATGTATATGTCCATTTTAAAAATCGTAAAAGAAAAAACATAAACTTTAGGAGAAAATATGAAAGATTTTTCTAATGATGTATTCATAGAGAGTGATTATTATTTTGACAGGTTTTTCCCCCGTGTATAACAGAAGACAAACTACTTGCCGAGAACATTTGTATAGCCGACTACATGTGAGTGACGATATAAATTCATTAATAGCTATTTTTTGGTATTATTTGATATGAAAATTATACGTATTACACTGATAATAAGGTCTTGAGAATTTTTTATTAATATAAGTCGTATGATCAATATATATAATCTATAACTTTTTCTTGAACGATAAATAACACATTTTTTTCTTTCAGAAATTAGCAATATACCAAATGGATTCACATGTTTGTTCATATTGGTGACTTGAATAATGTTTGCTTCAGTTAGTGTGGATTTTGTAAGATCTTGTAATAAATGTTTAAAATCGATGGCATAAAGTCGCATATTTCAGCACCGAAGAAAACCTACGATTTCTTTATATTGATTTTAATAAACTGAAATGAATCTTAACGTCAGGATTTTCTGTGAATTAAAATAAGTTACAATGGACAGTATAAAAAGATGAAAACTCGTTCGACCGATTTCTAAATTTCCCCCAGAGATAAGACTTTCACACCTGTGTTTCACGAGGTTAATCCAAGGGGGTGTTTTGTTATAATGATACCCCGGTGTAAGAAACTAACAAACTATAATGCTCATAATTACCCTGCAACTGTCGCAGCCAAAGAAAATGTTCAAATATTTGTCTGATTAAAAACAAAAAAGAACCCAGTCCTTATGCGAGGCGTAGAGCGAAATTTCACGTGCTCCACGGAAGGAGGGGGTAAACAGAGAACCCCATCCGCGCGAGAAGTAGGTTGTTTTGGGGGTCTAATCTTTTGATGTGATGAGAGAATTTAATACCGATAAAATGGAATGTTCCCTAAATCTTTTGTATTGTTTTCACGGCGGATAAACAAATGGTCAAACAAGACATAATGGTGTATACACGTATCACTATATCTCACGTCTGCTAATTTGAGTGGTTCATTTATTTTCCCAGTTTGCACGTTGGGTGTTCAGAGGTTACTTGTGTCATCCAAACACGCTCTAAATGAGAAACTCGCAGGTGCGAATTCGCTATTGTTTTCAGATAATGGTGCATGTTTGGATGGAAAACCGGTGCTTCAGAGAAATTTAGCAAACTTTGGTTCTTCAAATCAAACAAAATTTTAGTTATTTGTTCTCTTTAGAAAGATAACACGTTCGAAATAACGAGGTATTTATTTAAGAAAAAATGCACATATACAATACTGTTATGTTACACAGAGGATTTATATATACATAAAATGCCTTTAATTTTTGGTCAATTCAGAACATATTGCAGCATACTGTTACATTTTTCATTGTTGCATGGTAAAAGCAAGTGTTCAAAGAGAGATAACTCTCATAAAATTTTATAATTCCAAGATGATTTAGAGTTATCTTTTCTTGATTCTATTTTCAGGGTCAAGAGTGTTTGGGCTCACACACAAAGGATTTTTAGTTATTTTCTTAAAATTACAAAAAAAGGAAGACGTCTTTAGACCCCCCTTCCAGGGAACGTGGACCCCTCCTCAAATCTTATCATAGCTAACAAGAGATTTATACAAATATAATTAGTTTTTTTGGTCAAACATGACGTTGTTGAACTAAATAGATATTACTTTTCCTGTGAGAGAGGTACCTATTTAAACAAAGATATTTGAGAAAAAAAATGTGTAAAATTTTAGAAATGTATGAAGTTTTGTTCCTGTAAAGTTTCTAGGAACATTTTCAAGGGTCTATTTTTACATTTTACAAAAATCAAAATTTCTTAATTAGATTTACATTGAGAGAAATATTGAAAAACAAAAACAAATTAACTCTTCTGTGTGGGAGATAAGAAAATTTGTTTGTGGTATGTATCTTTCTTTTTTTTTTTACACCCCCCCCCCTCATTTTTTTGTATTAGTATTTTTCAGTATCACTCTTGAATTAAGAATGTTTTTTCAACCGTATTCCACAGCTTTCCCCAACATTCATTTTATACAAATTCATTACTTAGATTTCATCTGTAAATTTAGAACATCGTTTTTTGTGTGAATTGACATGCTTTAACATACACGTAAAATTTCAAACTATATTTTAAAATTATTTTAAGCGGCCTACAACCATATTTTATTACTATTTAAATAGAATCTGTCATTTTAATCATACACATAAAGAGTAAACGGATTAGTATAAGTTTTATAACTTGTTTCCGAATCCTTTTACATCTTTCTGTTCTATATGCTTGTACATGTATTTCTTCTTGTTATTTTCAAATAAAGTATGGTTTAAACTTAACCCCTAAAAATGCATACAAGATGAAAAAACGTGTTTCTTTCTGTCATTTTTGTGTGGGGATGAGGGGGGGGGGGAGGGGCTGGAATATAAATGGACCTTGCTTAGGAAAAATCTTTGGATCCGCCTTTTCATATCGCTTCCAAAAAAAATTCTTTTGGAAAAAATGGGAACTAAGTAAATTCGTTAACGTTGTACACAATTTTAACATCTTTGTTTTATTAAGCTTGATAAAATGGTGGTTCTAATAATTCTCTATTATCCTAAATTTCTCGGATTTCAAAATTTTCTAACACTCAAGTTGCAATTGATACTAACACATAAATCTTAAAATTAAAATTTTCAATAGAATACATATTTTTTTATTATCACAGTAAAGTTTGGAAATTCCTGTATCTCTTTTCACAAAATATCAATTAATTCTCATTGGAAGAGAAAGCTTAAGATTTTATACCTTTTGACGAAAATTCTTTCTAGATTTTTCGTGTAAAATTTTAGCCCCGTCGGAAGTATTTCAGAATTGTATAAAATTAAAATATATTTCGTGTCTGTAATAAAAATTTACCCCCTGTTACATTTATAATAATACTAGGCTATGAGGGTATCTAACTTTAAATAACATTCTTCAAAGAATTGCAGCTATTTTCTCTTTCACTGTCTATTATCCATTCTATTGTACGATTAAATAAGCAAATCATGTAGAGCACGCTTCCATCTGCATAAAAGCAAAATTTAAAATCAATGGGTTGAAAACTTCAATATCAAGTGTTCAAATATTGCAATGAATTTCTATCATGTTCATCAAAGGAAAAATTTTAACTTTACTTTCTATAAGTGTGTCTCATCATAAATAATATTACGATTTAATTTTAGCCTTTTAGCCAATCAAAATTCAAATACATATAGATATTCTGTCTATACATATAGATATTCTGTCTATTGATGGTGTGAATCGAGTGTGAAACGAGTTTTCTCAGATTTAATCCATTTTCAAAAATTTGATCAATTTACTATGCATAATTTTGGTTGTAAAAGTTCATGCATACAAGTCCAGAAATAATGATGTTTATAGAGCATACGTGTTTATTGTCCATTATGTAATAGGAATCCATATTCCTAAAGATTTATAAAATGGAAATTTTCGGTACTTTTCGAAAGTCTCTACGGACGAGGTGGGATCATGTGCCATGTAGGAGTGAGCATCCCCTGGGGAAAACTGAAAAAAATCCGTAGACAATTCAGTGCGTAAATGATGACCTAACAATTAGTATGAAAAACATCAGACATTATTACATTGACTTAATGATAGATTGTATTTGCTGACAAGGTCATTATATCGACCATAAAGCTTGCAAAATGATGACTTTAACGAGACTATTGATATTCTCGTTTCATCAACTTGTTTGTCAATAGCTTGTCTCGTTTTAGAAATTTCGTATGTAGAGCATGCTCTTGCGTATCAAATCAACTGAGCGGTCCATAAACTCCATATGCAGGTGATAAGGGTATATTGCTAAGGAAGTAAGGGAAGTTGACGATTGAAAAGTTGGTCATCAGTTTATCATAAAGCTTTGCTGTAAGGTTACCATAAACGTCTTTTTCTAGTAAAATTAAACTCTCCAAAGTGAGAGTGTGCAAGATTATAGATATGAGTTTCCTGATCTTAATTTCAGTGCCAAAAGTGATATTTAAAAATAAGTAAAATTTGATTGGAACATGCTCTTGCTACAAGTGATTTTTTTCTACACTTACTGTCCACCGCCGCACCGTGCAGCATAGTCTGCAGAAATCATCAGCATCATCACGTGAAAAAGATCCAGGTTATTTGTTATCCCTTTAGTCATCTGGCGAGATTGGGTATCACATGATGATATACTAGTAATACATTTTCATAATTTATCATTGATGTTCATATCGATGACCTGATCGAGTCATGCGATGGTTCATGCGTTGAGCATGAATTTATGCAAAGTATTTGATAATGATGCTCATTTAGGGACTACATATGTAATTTGTGTGCAATATACAGATCCAAAATTAAAGATAGCTACTATTTTTATAATACACACAAGTATTTTTAATATCTGATAAACTTCTTCCAGCCACCAGACATTGTTTCCTTTATAAAGGAGACACTAACTGTTTGGGAGCCTAGGTCCTATTTTTATTAAAAACGTTAACATTTTGATCCTGAAATTAAAAAAAAAATAGCAAACAAAGGATTCAGAAAAAAATGAAGCACCCCATCAAATATGCCACTGAGAATTAACAAATAGGAATTTTTCTGGGTTTCCAAGTGTTTCTAACTGGTTAATGCATAGAAATTCAAAGATCTTATTCCATTATTTTCACCAATTTGATAAACTGATTCAGTTATTAAAAACTACAAAGAATGTTCCAAATTCTGTCCGACTGAGTGAAAAAGTGGCAATGAATACTTTTTACAAGTAAGGAAATATCTATTTTTCACATTTGGTCAAATGGTTCAGATATTTCCATAATAATAAAACAAATTGTTTATGTATTTGATGTACACCTTCATATAATTTAGAATTCTCAGTAATTGAAGAAAATATATGAAAATTTTAAATGTTAATAATGCGGAGGAGGTGGTGGAGTTTTTGGAATAGATTCATCAGAGTCAAATGTCTCCTTACTGCTCGGTAATCTTTGTCCACGATTAAAATGAACAGGAATATCACGTGACTGGTGATAACCAATGAAAGACGGCCTTTGAACCTGATGTCGATCACCCAGTAAGCTTTGTGGTCCCAGTAAAGTTTCCGATACCCCACTGTGAAAACTCGAAGCAGGTACACCTTGAAAAGAGCTCAATGTTTGTAAGTTGGGAATACTTCTGTTGCTGGATTTTGACACGGCATGTTGAGGTTGATTGTTTTGAACCAATCCTTGATTTTGATATATCATATCCACACTACGTTTTCTCCGTGTCGGCGATTCAGCATCAGTATCCCAACCGTCGTTATGGAGATGATCACGTTCAGTTCTTTTGTTATTGAAACTATCTGGTTTGGAGAAAAATCTATCCTGAATTGTCTGACTGTTGCGCATAACTTCCAAAAGTGATCCCGACTGTTGTTGATTAGTTCGACTCTCCCAAATTCTCTGTAGCTCCGGATCTACCGGAGACTCTTTTGGAGTACTGTGTTTTGGACTTCGTCTTTTAGAGTAAAAACTACTGTCATTCCCAAAATGAGAAATATCTTGCGATTCGTTGAGAGTGAGGTTTCTGCTCCCTCCTGTTGAAGTCCTTGGCCGTTGACCTCTGATCTGATAATTCACACTTTCTTCATTGCCTCTTCGTTTTACTTGCTGCAGAAATTGCCTCTCGTCAGCTCTTGTGAAGGATTCTCCTCTCACAGCATAAGGCTTGTTGTTGTATTGAATTCCCTCTCTTTGATTTCCATGCCATAAATCTTTTGGGAATTCTTCCATTGCAACGTTCAAGTGTGATCTTGACCCGATATTATTGTTATTTCCATAATGCCCCAAATTTCGCCTGAGAGGGTTTCTCGAGGAAGTTCCTGAAGAGGAAGAGGCATCTTTCGCTTTCTCAACCGGTGCATTGTCTTTGTTCAACAACTCTTGCAGTCTATTACCTTTCAGGGCATCTCTAGAACGACGGATATCTATATCTTTCACAGGAAAACGAATCATGCTTTTCCTCAGAAATTCTTGATATGGCGTAGAATGTTCGTCATCCTTTGCTACATGCCTTTGTGGACTTCCTCTGTTTGAAGGTGGTGGAGAAAACACATTTCTAGACATAATAGGCACTTTAATGTCTTTTCTCTCCCCTATCTTTGCAGCTGCTGGTGGATATGCCACAGTGTTCTTTGCAAACATTTTTGTGTATTTCAATTCCTCGTTGAGGTTTCCCATCGTATTTAAAGCTGGGGGCGCTACATCTTCATAATCCTCCCTCACACTTTGCATAATCCTCTCTCGTTCCTGACTTTCTTCTTCCGATCTACCACTAACACTTCTCCTCTGCCTAAGGTAATACAACACCTCCTCATCCTCCTCTCGATCTCGTTCCCGTGGGGGTATATTTAAATGTCGGTTTTCCTCATACTGATGGACAAAAGTCCTCGGCATTGTTTCTCGACTGTTCTCCACTAAAGCACTGACGGTCTTTTTCTTGCGAAGATAATCTAGAACATCCTCATCGTTCTGTGTATTTATATCGCGTTCTTCAAAATCAAATGGAACAGCTCCTGAAGGGGCCGAACGACGCCTTTGGCCTGTATATTTACTGAAACGAGATTGCCTGGCATCTTCTGGGCTGCTACGAGCGGCTTCAACAAAGCTACTGACACTTCTCCTATCGCTTAAAAAGTTTAAAACCTCTCGATCATCTTCCAAATTACGTTCGATCGACGTTGAAAGTCCTTGACCGTAACTACGGTCTCGACTCGAGGACCGGGACTCGAAATCATATTCTCTTTCTTTCTTCCTTCCCCTGTCTGATCTATAGTCAGGGCTTTTTGATTTTTCTACAGCTTGAAGATATTGAGAAAGGGGAGATCCTCGAGCCATACGTCGATATCTTTCACTGGATTCGGTTTCTCTGCTTCCATTCACTTCAATTCCGGAATCCACAAATTGGCGATCCATTCGTGCCCGGTTTCTGGTGTTCTGCACCACCCCAAAATGTTCTCGATATGTTGTCTGATATGGATTTGTTGACGGTTGTGTGTTTGGAACTCTGTAAATAGGCATTACAATATGTTCGTTTTCATTATTCATGTATTCAGCATATTTTGGTAGGCAGTCTTGGTTATAGTAAATTTCGTTGGGATCTGAAACATCTTTCGTTTTGTAAAATACTTCTGGCTGCGAATAACTTCGTCTTGCATTCATACGAGATCCAATTGGTTCATAATGTTTAACAAACCATTCCTTTTCATCTTCTCTTGAACGCTGCTTTGTAGAAACTCTTGAGTCTTGGCTTTTGGGAACATCATCTTTTACCCGATAATTTGACAACTGTTGATCGGACGCCCTCTTTTCCCGGTTTTCTTGGATGTACATGTCTCGATAAGAATGAAATGAAGGTTTGGAATGTTGTTCCTGCAGTCGGTCCTTTAGATACTGAGTCGATCTTTCGGGGTGAATTATAAAGTTGCTCCGTAATTTCTCGCCCTGATCTGAATTGCTTCTTCCGACTTCCTCAAGTCCGCGAATCAAAGTTGAGGAGGGCATAGAAGTTGTACGATTACTGCATTTATTGATACTGTGATGTGAATAGATAACCCCATCTCCTGAGATTGGATGATGACCTGGAGCGTTCGAATTGTTTTCCTGCATTCCTTCTACAATGTAGTTTTCCAATGAGAAAAGTTTTTTCTGCATCCCAATGGATTCTCTCTGATGAACACTCTGAACAGGGCTTAGATTAAGTGCACAAGATGGAAAATTCTGTGATTTGTCTACACGTACAAATCCAGAAAGCTGCGATGGCTGATAATGTATGGGTGTCAATGGAGGCGGTGAAACAGGTTGTTTGACTGAAGCCGTCCGAATGTGGCCTGAAGACGGCCGGTCTGTTGGTGATAAATATTGTGGAGTCGTCTGAGTTTGTGCTGAAATCTTTCTACTGGATGGTATATCTGATACTAAGTTTTCTCCGTGAGAATGGTGGATCAAAGAACGATGCTTTGGCTGACAGACACTGCAATATTCTTGTTCTTCATTTTTTGTTAACGTCTGAGTAGACTTCTGCAAATCATGCTGTTTCATTCCTACTGGATATGGTTCAGCACCGTTTTGAGCTTCTAATGGTTCTAGTAATGGTTCGCCATTTTCTTTTGTCATACGCTTATGTTCAAACGACTCTCCGTTTTGTTTAGATGTAAAAGATTGATGAGATCTTCGCTCGAGTGAGCAAGTTCTGCTGCCTTTTTGATTTTCAAGGTTATCAATACGTCCACCTGGCTTTGCTTGGTCTACGACAGATTGGTAAGATCCTCGATGATGTGAGCAGACTCTGCTGTTTTTTCGCCTTCCATTCTCCTCATTGTACATAATATGGCTAGACTTTGATGCATTCAACTGTTGAGATTTGGATCTTTCAGGCTTTGGTTCATATGGTTGTGGCTTAGCAGTTGTTAGTCGACCACAGCTACATATAGTTTCTCTGATAATCTGTTCATTGTCATCTATGGATGCTGGCTGAGATCTCGTTGAAAACTTAAGACTCTCTGCATAATCAATGTCTACTTTTGTGTTGTCCACACCTGTTTCTCCACCCTCAAAATTGATGACGTAAGAATCGTCTTTCTTCTCATCAGAATGACTTATTTTAGACTCTGGTTTTGTTCTCCTTTCTCGGTGAATTCTTTGATCAGAGTTTCTTTTGCTTCGATTGGATTTTAAAGACTGCTTGCTTCCTCTCTCCTCTGGGATCAATCTGTCAGGGGCCCTTGACATCCTAGACATACTTCTCACGAGTTTTAATTCAGAAACCACTGAAATGGAGGTCATTTGATTGCTTAAAACAATTAATGATTCTTTTTTTTTTTTTAAATATTGTTCTTATTAGCTCTTTTGTTGCTTTAGACAATTAGGAGATTTTTTATCATTTTTTTACGGATATTAGTCTAGACGAAACTTTTTTAGACAGCACATCTCGGATTCAAGTTTTCTTACTTTATGGACGGTGCACCAGTTATGCTGGTATATTTAAATCTCAATTCACGAAAGCGCTTAAGAATTTACTTTTCAAATTATGATGTATCACTTACACTGGTTAACATCCACTTCGGCTGTCTCCTTCTTTATGCTGTCTTTAATGGCACCCAGACAGCACAATGTTTCAAAGAACACCACGTTACTCAGTTCACAACAGCCCGGGGGTAGGGTCTTAGGGATGTCCCCTGTCTGAAGGCGTTTCAGATACTCCGCGTCCTCCTTTTTCCTGATTGAATTAAAATTTTGTTGATCTTAGTTCACAACATTTGTTTTTAATATAAATACCCGGTAATCAAAATTATAGCTCTTGAAATAACTTCATTAAATATGTTTACACTTTTGACGTTTCTGACATTAATTAAAATGATTCATGTATACAGATACTTGCTTTCTGCTTAACACCCTGCAGCAGTGGATGATGATAATAAGCACAATCCCAAGTACAGTTGCACCAAATATGATCGCCATCCGGGTAGCTGTTGGACCATCGATCATTTTTATGACGTTAACAAGCGTCAAATCCTTATCCTGTCGGATAGTTTCTAGTAAAATGATTTTAAAGAAAAAATCAATGTATGTAATAAAAAAATAAATTATACAAAAATATTTTTTGGACTGTAGCTGTTTTTGTTTTTTAAAAAAAAAAATCATATTTTATATTATACTATACTTTGTACATGTATAAAATCTGTCTGAAGGGTGATCTCTTTCACCCCCCCCCCCCCACCCCCCCAAAAATTAAAATCAGAAGTAAATATATTTTATCCATGCAGACAGAAATTAGCATTTTAAAGTATTGAGTTAAGGTATCCGATCCATAAAAGGACATAATTTTCTAACCTTAAGTATCCATCCTGTATTAAATACTCGGAAATTAATTCAAAGCATTTTAGAGTAGAAAAGGATTTATCAGGAGAAATTTTCAAAAATATAATTACCTAAGCGGTAATTAGTTAATGAAGAATGCACTGAGGTCTATGGGGACAAGGAAATTTTTGAAAATAAAAAGTTAAATACTAAGAATATCAAAACAATGCTTTGGTAGAAAGATGTATTTAATTATTAGGAATAGAAAAACGATTGAAAACTAATTTTTTACCAGATCGATTATTTTAGAATTGATTTTTATTGATTAAAAGCAAAGGGGGATAACTCTTCAAGGACAGGACAAGGTCAAAAATTAGGACATATTCCGCTCTTACATATTGATACTAAAACATGAAGATTATGTCTACATATACTGAGTATTCAGGCAATATATATCTGTAATGCATTCAGATTCATTGAATCTGAGGCTATTATGGATCGGATACCTTAAGGGGAAAATCTGAATGGTGTCTAGATTTTGAGTATCAATCTGACTTGTTTCTTCTTTTGTTTTTGGAATCAAACTTTTGATTAAAAATCAAAAAAAAGTCAATCCAAGTTTTATTTTAAATTTTAAAAAAGTCGTGATTATAATATTTTAAGATGTAGTTTTATCAATGATTATTAAAGAAGGTATATAAGTGTACGAGGTTTGTTTAAAAAGTTCGCGGACAAATTCTAATGTGTCAGTGAGCATGCAAAACACTACTTAAACTCTGCAGCAAAAAAAAAAAAAGAGGAAAGAAAGACAAAAATTTGCGTATTTTCCAATAAAGATGCAAAGATTTGTTGTTTTCCGGCGATCAATTAAAAAATACAGTTATATCATTAAGATGACATAATTATATTATGTTATGTTTTTGCGCGTTCTATGTAGACATTTTGTTATTTATCAGTGAGAACATAAAAATTTAAGATGGTTTATTTGACGCCACTATATTAATTAAACTTCATTTTGGGAAATTTGTATTAAATTAAAGAAGTTTAAGGCATACCGTTTTATTGCTTAATATAGAGGGTCATCACATAAAAAAGCAAAGCAAAAAACAGAAACGTCACTGAACATCTTGAATCACGTAAATGTTACAAAATTTTGTGTATATGCAGGAAAATCTCCGAAATGCTTCTGGAGATGACTCTATCATAAGTGTTCTAACGGTATAAGCGTTTTAAGGATGGAAGGAGCGTCGTTTTTATCATGGACGATCGGGGAGATCACATGAAGTTCGGGGGGGGGGGGCAGTGCAGGAGGGGGAGCAACTTTTTTCCAAAACGAATTTTTACAGTTTAGTTTATGACTGTGTTCATTGAAAGGCTGATTGCTTCCCCCTCCCCCAAGTTTTTGCAATGTACATCATAGTCAAATTCTCCTCTGGTAATGTGGAAAAAGTTGGAACCTTAACCCCACCCCCACCCCAAAGGAATGCACATGATTTTGTGTATACTTATGATTTGATAAAACAAACTTCGTTCCTAATAGTAATAGTAATAGTAAAGTTGTTTTCCCGTACATTATTGTATTTTTAACAACCCTCTTATAAGCTGAAATCTCAGTTCTGATAAACGATACGTTTACTTTATCATTTCATTCTAAATTTAGTAGGGGGCACCAGTCCATGCAGCCCCGCAAATCTCCAAGTCAGACAGCTTATATCTTTGAAAATCGGAAGTTTTGTCTATAGTGAGTCCCCTTCGCCTTTTTTTTAACATCTCAATAATGCAAGATTTTTTCAAAGTCCTCCAGGTTCAAGGTAAGAACTAAATTGAATCTACATTTTTATTATGAAGCTTTCAAATACTTTGAAAGGAGCGTGTCCTTTCATCAGAAGGAAACCCAACTACATAACTTTTTGTGAGGTTTTGCCTTTTGGCAAAAAAAATTGAGTTAGTTGTCAGCAAATGCTGAATGACGTCCTTCCCTTAAACAATTACAGGATTTTGACTTTCATCATCTATATACTTATAAATTAATAAATTTTGCAAATAAACTCCGAAACGGGTGCACCAGAGTTCTTACTTACTCCTCTAACAATACACTAGATACAAGCTGATGTCCGTAAACTATATTTAGATTTCACTCGCATAGTAAGTATCGTACATTAAATTAAAAGTCTACTTTTATTTTCTATAAACAGCCATGAAATAGCAAAAACGTGAGTATGGTGGCGTTTCCGGTTGGCGGATCTAAGTTACTGGCAATATTTAACGAAACTGACAACAAGCAATCGTTTATTTATTTCATAAAACGTCATCACTGAATTATTCAATCAAAACTTGATTTAAATGATATAAAAGAAATAAGTTGTGATAACCGATAAAAAAGAGAGATATGCAAATTATTTTCACCATTCACCGATCTTGATATTGACGGAAGCTTCTAGAACATCATATAGCATCGAGCCCGATGTTAAAGAGAAAACAGAAGCTGGATGAACATGAAAAAAAGTTTTTGTGTGAATGGTCATTGAAATAATGGCAAATCATTGATAACGCACTCTAAGTTGTGAATATATTTATATATCGAAAGACTATATTACACATACATGTAGTAGGTTTTCCTAATAAATTTACCGGTAAAATTTGTATTTTATTCCTTACTGAGAGCATCGTGACAACGAACCCGAAGTACAATTTGTACTTCGTAATAAACTTGCTTACATGAAAAGAAAAAAAAATAATGAATAAGATATTGTTTAAATACAATTGAATATGTAAAATTTGTGCTTTAATCAATACATTTCAGTTTTTTTTTTTCTGAATACAGTCTTTTGTATCAAATACTCGGCCTATTCAGAAGGCGTTAAAAGCTAATTTTACACAGGTACTTGGGTCTTGGTTTAAAAATATGTATACACCTTATTGATATGTAAAAAAAAAAAGTAAAGTACATTTTTACATATCAATAAGGTACATAAATATTTATAAACCAAGACCCAAGTACCTGTGAATTTTTAACCCCCCCTCCCCCCCCCCCCAATCAATTTATCAGCAAAATGTACATATTCGCTGCTATTATCCTTGACAGAAATGTAATAAGAGCTCAGCATCTGAAGTACAATATCCATAATATAGTATAACAGGTTTCACAATAAACATCAATTAATAAAATTGTTATTTTTCAAGTTTTTACAAAGGGGGGGGGGGGGGGGGTGGAGACGTACATATACTTCATGCGGATTTTGAACAAAGTATTTCTTCCTGCTATAAGCCTGTAGGCTGTAAGTAGAAACTACAATATATTTTCTGTCTGTAGTGGTATAAATTCAATTCCCCGCGCTTGCGCGGGATTTCACCTAGTACATGTATATAATTGTACAATTTGCAGTGCATTCAATTATGGATAAAATGAAAAATAAAACACTGCTTAATTTAAATGAAAAACAGATACATATATACACTAAGTTAAACAAAACTTTATACTAACCGCCCCCTTCTGGCCTGATGCCACCTGATTCTGAAAAAGAAATTAAATTATATGAAGAAAACGTTAAAATTTAAATTAATAGTCAAAATATGTTCTTAACCTTTTGCTATTTTGTTGTTATGAAGTAGTGGTGATGCATTCTGCTTGCACGGTATTGATTTCAAGATTTCAAGTACGTTACCCTTTTCGCATGATTCTCCCACGTAACCCACGGGACAGTGGCAGATAAATGGAGGGGTACTCCTGGGTGTCCATTCACATAGTGCACTGTGTTGGCAGGGGTTGGGCAAACAAGGATTTGCGTCATCTACATTTGATAACAATTCAAAACTGATTTAGAAATATGATAAACAATGCTAGACATATAATAATTTTTTACATGTGTGCATTTTATGTTGTACGAAAGCCCATTGAGCTCATTTTCGTAGGTAAAAAAAAATATTTTTCGCGTTATAACGCGAAACTTTCGCGAATAAACACGTAACTTTCGCCGAAACTTTCGCGTGATAACGCGAAACTTTCGCTGTAAAACCGAGACATTTGCAGAAGTCTCCATTTTCTCTTGATTTTATGATATATTTTATTCATTACAATGAAAAACGAAAGGCTATTTTGAACTTGGACCATCACAAGCTACAATTTAAGTTTTCTCGACATTGAATGTGTCTTTCCTCTTTCTAAATCTTTTTACCGTCATATTTTGTCTTTCTCAACGCTGTTCAAAAATTTCAAAGTCTATGCGAGTTTTTCCAAAGTGAAATTATATAATTATGAATTTCGGAGAAAAGATCACCCCTTTCCGGTGTCATTTTTTAACACTCTCTATAGAATTTGAAATAAAATTAAGATCTCAGAAAATTGACAGAATGAGGTTTTGTCAATTGTGTCCCATCACATGGGTGACCTAATGAGAAAATTGGATGACAAATATTAATTTGTTTTCGTTAGACTCACTGTAGAAATACAACATCTGATGAAAACTTCTAACTCATCAATAATTTCTCTGTCTCTTAAAGTGTATTTCATCTCACATTTTCACAGCGAAAATACAATTTCATGATTTTCTTTGTTCAAGTTACTTATAGTAGGTAGTGTTTATAACCTATTCGATTTTTTAAAAGTATCCCCCAAAATATAATTTTTCATGCACATATATGCCATGTTGAGAGTGATTTTGGAATCAGTGATCAATAAATCTAAAATTCACATACCAGTATTACAAGCAAAAAATTATTTCTATAATGCATAATATAAATAGAAGAATGTTTTAACGTCGAGATTCAACATTTAATAGTTTTAAATTTGTGTATAAGATAGTTAAGACATACTTAAGTCACCTCTACCGGCCGCCTAAGTTTTGCCAAGATTGTCAAATCTTAGCATGCTTTTAGTTACGGTTTTAAGTCTAAGACTGTACCTAAGTCCTGCTTAAGTATGGTCTTAGACTTAAGTACCCTTTATGTTACGATCCCCTGGTTTCTACAGTGTATAATTTTTAGTCCAAAATGATGGATTGCTTAATTTACTAGTGGTACAGTTGTAGTGAACTTTGAAAAAAGTGACAAGTGGAGATCTTCCTGAAAAAAAATCAGTCTAAAGAATTTCTTGGATTCAAAAAGTAAAAAACAAGAAAATCTTTAAAGGAATATTCATTTTATTAATTCGTAGGGTTTTGAAATAAAATGCAAAATTCTGAAGACTAATCTATCCTATTCACGCATCATTTCTCTTTTACATCTTCTGAGGAAATGTAATTTATAAATTCATAGAAGTCCCCGTCTGCGTTTATGTTTCTTATCTGACAATCATGATCAAAGGTTCCTGAGTAACATTGCTAAATACATATAATTTCGAAAGTTATGCGTTAGAACGCGAAAGTTTCGCGTTTATTCTCGAAAGTTTCGCGTTATAACGCGAAAAAGTTATTTTTCTAACCTACGAAAATGAGCTCAATGGGCTTTCGTAATGTTGCTACAAGGGTTACTGTATTCACTTTGATTTTGATACCGTGATATATATCGGATAATTGAGAAATGAAAAACTTTAAAATTCAAAGATATGATGAAAAGTATTATTACCATCACATCATAGTGTGTATGACTGATTAAAGTCTTACCTAATACTTCTGACGCTGAAAAAATTCAAATTTGAATTAAGTAATGTAAAATACAAATTCATGTAAAAGCTCATGATATTACTGGTATTATAATTAAAATATAAACATAGGTTCTAAAGAATGAACATATTATTTAATTGACATAGACTCAAAATCATATAAACTTAATATAATAAAAAAATTGGGAGGGGGTCTTAATCAAGTGAATTCTTCCTTACCTTTTAATGGCCTGATTGGTTTTCTATTGTCCACGGATCGCTTGTGAACTTTCCCTGAACCCGCTTCCTCTGAAAAAGTACGACAGCATTAAGAGTTGTCGCTCTTTACATACATCGCGAGCGCTCTTTAGTCTTTACATACATCGCGAGATTGGGGGGATATGGGATATCATAATGATTGAAATAAACAAGATGTAAATTGATTTTGCTATAAGTATGACGATAAAATTTTACAGCAGTGTAAAGCCATTTGTTACATTCTCTTGAACTAAATAAACTTAGAGAGATCTAAATATATTTTATTTTTTAAAAAATGTACCACTGGCTGCTAATGACATACGATAAATATATACAATGTATATTGATGTTACTATTCGAATAAATTGAGATTTTTCCTATCAATTTTGGGGAGACTGGACAATTTTTTACGTTAATGAGTTCTGCAGCAGTAGCGGACCCATATGATGAGCTGTAAATTTTACAAATTTACATTTTCTGGAACAGGAGTGGAAAATTCAAACTTGTAAACACAAAATTATGTTTGTTATCAAATTTGCAATTACTACCACCTAGTAAACAAACATTTAAAACATGACATTGATTTGTCATATGCATATATATTGTTCACTACGTTACACATTTTTTTTATCTTTCATCACATCACTGTTTGATTAATCATCAGATTGAGGATATAGGCCATATTTGTAATTTGGAAACTTTAACAGACCTACCAACTGTATTGACAATTTCTTTGCAACAGGTATTCAGTTCAATTTTGCCTCTTTCACCATAGCCTGAAGCTGCAGTATTACTTGAAGAGCTTAGAGCATAAGATCCATATGTTGAGAACACAAAAAATATCAACTTCAAAAACATGTCTGTTTGTTCACTTATGTGTTGACGTCATCACTATCTCCTGTAAACGTCACAGTTAAAAATGTCAAAGAAAACACACACACAAGAGTACTTGTGGATTTTTTTTTTCAATAAATAATATTTTCTTTATTTTTGCTGTTTAAAAATTACATTAAGATAACAACCCGTACTCAAATTCACTACAACTATAAACATTTTGTATAAAAATGTTATATAGAATTTGCGCCTGGGTTGTAATTTTAATGTGATTTTTAAACAGAAAAATATAGATGAAATGGATAAAGATTAAAATTGAAGATTTTTTTTAAAATCATATAAAAGATTAAAATTGAAGATTTTTTTTAAAATCATATAAAAATGATTAAAGGGGTTGGGGTGCATCGTAGAAGCACGATCCTGTCCACAAGCACCTGTAGATATGATGAAAATAATATTGCATACTGCATTTTCTCTCAGATTTGAACAGAAAAATTGTTACAGGGGATTTAGCACTTGATGTGTATACGTGTGTTTGGAAAGGGGGGGGGGTCTGTATCGAGTATAAAATGAAAATAAAAACGAAGTAGAGAGGGTCAATTCAGCATTTGTCTATTATTTTTAAACAAATCAGTAAAGAGAGGGTAAAGGTACACAACTTTTTTATATATAATCACTAACTATGCAAGTTTCATTAAATTGTCAATATAGTAGAAATCTGTTGAGGTTACAGTTTACAATAACTACATTAAAACTTTCTGTTTTATTCTGGTTGTGTTGTAGGAACGAGTATGTGGTTTAAAAATGAACAGGTCAAATTTGCGATGTTACCTACTTAGTTTTTATGACAATTATCAAAACATTTGTACATGTTGTCGTCAATGAAAACAAAGACTTGAATTTGCAGAGAACACTTTATTGATTTCTTCTACCAGTACATGAAATACAACATGAAAAAAATCTCCTGAAGATGTTGGGCTGAAAAGATAAAAAAAAACAATTATTAATATAAAGAATTTATTCAAAAGCTGCAATAACATGTAGAATACGAATCGATAAAACCAAACTCACAGATTTATTAGTTAGAATCTCACCTTGCGTTTCTTTTGGCGACTGTCGTCGGATTGATACATTATTGCGGCTGAAAAGGCTGAATGAATGGAAATTAGGGACATTCGCCTGGTCTGTAAATGAAGTATATTTCAGTAGTCAGTACCCTTCAGTGTTATAAAGTTGACAACAATCAACTTTTTTTTCATTTCTCATATTGATATACACAAAGAAAATATAATTTTATAAACATCCAGTTAAGTTTTATTTTCAGTATCTCAGTGATCAAAATGTTTAAACTCTCATATTTACCTCTATTTCAATGAATTCTTCAGCAAGGGCCTCTTTGATGCTTAGTTCAGAAAGTTGCCTAGCCTGAGACATTGAATAATGTCAGGGGTTATTATATATAGTACTGAGGGACGAAGCATCGTTTTTCGAAGTGGTGGTGTTTGGGCGGATTATTGGAAAAAAGGGGAGAAAAATACCCAAACTCGAGAAACCTACGTTGGGGAGGGAAGGGGGGTCTTTTCGACAAATTACAAGAAGGGACTAATCGTCCTTTAAGTGAAAGTTTCAATCCTAAGACTATTTTCGTAAAACATGGAGGGGCAGCTTCCCCCCCCCCCCGGTGTCCATGATACTACGTACCTAGACTTCTTAAATCTACAGTCACATTTATGCAAATGTAACAAGCATTCTGAGAGTATTGCATTAGCAATACTAGTCCCCTACCGGCAAGTGTAATCTGGTTCCGTTCCCGTTAAGAATTGAAAATGCCATAATTCCGTCAAAAATTAATGAAGCGGGACGAAATGCAAACTTGATCTATAACTAATAAAGGTAAAGCCACATACCAAAAATCAGCTCAATATTTACAAGCGTTTAGAAGAAAATTGCGGAAAACCCCTAAAAATTGAAAAGGCCGTAATTCCGTCAAAAATCAATGAAGCGGAACGAAATGCAAACTTGATTTGTAACTCATCAAGATACACTCACATACCAAAAATCAGCTCAATATCTGCAAGCGTTTAGGAAAAAAGTGCGGAAAACCAAGTGGGACAGACTGACATACAGACAGAGGGACAGACAGACAGACGGACGGACAGACGGACGGACAGACTCAGAGGAAACCTATAGTCCCCTCCGGTTTCACCGGTAGAGGACTAATAAGAACATGCATGTTGCAGATTTAAGAGATGTGTACCTGTTGACTCAAGGCGATCTCTGCAGGCAAGCTGCATAAACTTGACATCGTCTGTTATATAAAATAAGAGTTCATGAACAAATTTCAATTTATTGAAAAAAAAAATATATATATAATCTATCTTCAAAAAACGTGACAAATTTGATAAATAATCATACAGCCTGGTCAAGTTCTTCCGGACTTTCATCTTCATCGTCAGAATCGTCGTGTTCAACCATCATTATCATCATGGAAGCTTTGGTGCACTAAACGACAAACATACTTTTTTGTGGAAACACGTTAATACAATTCATTTTTCTACCCGTATTATCTTCATTAATTCACAATTATCTTTAATTATCTTTTTCAATAGAAGATAAAATGGTAAAATAAATAATTATAATAGATATAATTGTTTTCAATCAAGTGTATGCTGTCTTTACTACTGGTAACTACTGGTACTACTTTTACTACTGAAACAAACACAATATTTATCTTTAGATTAATACAAACCAGATCCTTCCTCTGAGAAGGAGGACCATTCATCTCGCTTTCTTCACTCTGTTGTTAACAAATACAAAAAAAGTTGTTAAGCTAAATTATACAAAGACCTTATCATGTCAAACCAACGAGATACAAGTAAATGTAGTGAATCGGGTAATTATATTTTTTCTCTGAAAATTTGCAACTTTTTTTATCATTAGACAGAGTTTATCAGAAATAGATTACCCGTGCCTCCCATTCCAAACCCTACGCATCCTAAAATCAAAGTGCCACAAAGTGCTCAACTTCGCACTTATGCCAGAAAACAGTTTTGTATTTCTGACCCCCCCCCCCCGAAGGTACCCAAACTTCAAACTTTTACACCTTCGTGTATTTGAGAAAGAATTGGCAATTAATGAAAATAAGTTTTTGTTATTCATTTAACAATGATGATAGAAGTGAAGAGGGTACAGAGAAAACTTCAAAATAAAATGACCTAGCCATTTTATGGCGGGAGAAGTGTGCTATACTTTAATAAAATAGAGTAAGACCCTAAATGAGAGAGGATGCGGAAAGGGAACATGGATTGTGCATGAGTAAACAAAGATTATAATTGAGTGTACAAGTCATACATCACTAGCTTTCAAAAATTCAAAAATTCAAAATTTGAAAATATCACGGCAGTATGAGTAGGGGCTGAAAATCCATAATAAAAATACCTCGGTGTTCCCTGGATGGGACTCTTTCAACGATGGACTCACGTTATGATCCATTTTAAGCTAAAAAAAAAAATGTTAAGAGTGAAAGTAGAAAAGAGAAAGACTAATAAAAGAATGATTTTACAGAAATTTTGATATATCACAATATAATGAGTTTATGACCTACATAATTAAAGATATGAAATTGATTTCTTCCGACAAGAATAAACTTAGAACCCAAGAAAATTGAACAAGTAATTGTAGAATCAAATATATGGTGTCTTCGATATAATAGTGTTTGGAAACAAACTCTCCCAATTAAGTCTGAAAAACAAACATGGTTGAGTTGAAAATGAATACATTTTTTACACCCTCCAAGAATGGTAATGTAAAATGTGCCTGCTTATATGCAAACAACTTTTACTTACTTTACTCCAAAAACTATATTCCTTCTTCGTACAGCAAATACTTATGGCATCCAAAAAATAAATCTGAATTTTGGAAAAGGCTTCTCAAATCTGTCAATTAAAATTAATAGAAGAATAAAGTTTATTGTCAAACGCAGCAACTTAAAATGAAAATGTTTTAATTTAGCAATCATTGTTTAATTTTCTCTTACCACAAAATTTGCGATCGGAGGTCTTGAAACCGCAGTCTCTATTATGACGTCACGGGTTAGTTACACGTCACGTGGTTAATACCAGGGACGGTTACTCTAATTTGGTTAAAGTTCTTCAGTGTTTAGAGTTACCGTTCATTTTTTAAAACAAATTTAAGGCCCACCAGAGATGTAAAAAGCGATGAAAATCTGAAAAAAGCAAAGAAAAATTACTTTTCTCTCAGCTTAAAAGGTATACTTAATCGGAGAAGAATCGAAATTAAGATTTAGATCAAATAATCACTTTAAAGGTTAATTTGTTTAAAATATATAACTTACATGCATCATAAAAGTTGCAAGTCTGCTGTGTGTTATATTCCTTGAACGTGTTGCGTTGCAGTTTCAAAGACTTATTAACATTTTGCTTCGAACTTGCAACAATTGCTTTTATATATGCAAAATTACGTAAATAAGTATTTGTTTCTCTTTGTCTCGTTCGATCAGTAAAAAAATGTTCAAAAATGGAAGAACTGCACGTCGTTTTTTCATGGTTTCGCTGAGGGTTGTCTCATAATTATCATACAACTACATTCGTGTACATTATAATAAAAGATAGTTCTTAACGTGAAAAAAAAAACTTTTAAATTACATGTTGGAGGCATGGTTGTGTTTTTTAAAAAAGAAAATTTTGTGAAAATTCGTGAGCGTGCTTTATCTTCAAATAATTTAAGTTTTCATCTCACGTGCTTTTGATTAAGATTATTAATTTCGAGCTATCAGAAGGCTCGTAAATTGATGTGAATTCAAAGGTCTTAAACGAATGTGAGTTCCCTCCTCTCATAAATGCATATGTGTAAGTGTACCTTTGCATAAAACGCTGTTTATAAAATAGGTAATTAACTTGTACTTTGTTAAGAACATGCCCAAGGTTCTTTTTATTATTATTTTATCTCCCACACACCCGAGTCAGCCAGATTTTTTTTTTCTTTATAGTGCAGAAATCCAGTTTGGAACGGAGTCAGTTTGAAAAAGTATAAATTTAAAGCATACTGAATTTTAAATATCAATTGCATACTAGTTTACCTGTTAAAAATACGGAATGTCCAAAATCCCTGCAAATAATGAATGGTTAATAAGACGTTCAGGGGTTCGATCGATTTCAAGAAGAGTATTCGTTCTTTGATGACTTTACAATAAAAAAAATAATTTTTTTTATTAGATAAAGTACATATATTCCAAATTTTCTATACCGATAATTAAGTTTAGTAATTTAATCGCCAGCATGCTCTTTTTTTTTTTAGAAGAAGAAGAAGAAGGACCCTTAATTTGATTCACTGTACGTTCTACCCAATCAAAATCTCTCTCTCTCTCTCTCTCTCTCTCTCTCTCTCTCTCTCTCTCTCTACATTCATGCAGTGGTTCATATAGAAAACAAAGCTCTGGTTTGTTTGAAACAATGGTATTATTGTACTTTTTATAATTCTGATCTCTAGGTTTCATCTACTGGAAGAATTGGATCTTCTGTATGTATACACAAATGACAGTAAAATAAACCATGTATACTGATCATCTTTATAAGTTCACGAGGTAAATTGTTCATTCGTATAAACATACATCACTGTGACCTGCATACATGTATGTATGCCTGCATGTCTGACGATATCGATAAACCTTGATGTGCAAACCAGAGTAAAAAGCCTGTGGAATGATGATAATTAAACAGCGTGTAATTATAAATATATCACGTTTTAGATTTTTCTATACCAACAATTTAACAATGATTCAAATAGAAGTATGAAGCAGGCTATAGATATACTGCAGATTGGCCGATATCAGCTTTAACACGATAGGTTGTTATGGGGAACATTTCAATATTTTTTGTGTAAGAAAAAATACTATTCCGTGTAAATCGCTTTAAAAAATCTTACTGTTGCAAGTAAAGAAGCAATGCTGTATTTTAAAGGTACACAAACAGATTTTTTTTCTGTATCGTAAGTAAACTGTACCATATATCATAAAATTATTTAAATCCTACCCTCTAATGAACCCCATACTTTTGTGGACCTTGTTTATTTCGTGGCAGCAAAAACAAGTCGGTAGTATTTCACACAGAGAACATTTTATTTTGGAAAAAAGTACAGATTTATAGAAATGTCCTTATCATCCAGACATTGGCTATTTGAGTTGGAAAATTATTAATCAAAGCTCATTTGATATGACATTGTACACTTTGCACAGGAGCGGATCTAAGACATTCCACTATTTTATATGGATACGAAACGTACAATGCGTTTATATCCATTTATCATTACTTTAATCTATATGGAATCAAGGAATGTAAGTTTTGACATGTTTTTATGTAACAAATTAACTTAATCATAAGGAGAAGATCATGAGGAAAATCAAATCTGGGTTTCGATCTAATCTATATCAATATATACATGCATATGCATATATACAGACTTCAATGCACTATTTAAAAATAAAAACAGCCCTTTAATTCCATTAATTTTGATATTATTTGATAAATTGTCTAATGAAGTTACATATAATTAGCAAAAATATTTTCATCGATTTCAATTTTCAGCTTCAGTATTTAATTAATTATCTGCCATAAAAATGCGATCATTATCAGCTTAATTTGCATCATTCGAAAGGCAATATCATACTATAGTAATCTGTAAAGACAATTTTTCTTGTGAAAACCGACAGTGTCAAGGTGAAAACTAGCCGTGTGTAAACATTAGTAAACAAAGTCAACACACCTAGATGTGCACATACCCTTTGCTTATACACTTACATGTGCCATGTTTACAAACCAGTATACATATCTGACGGTACACTGTTTACATTGTTTACTTAAAATAACTTTTTTTATGCAAGTATATAGGACTGTGATTCGTAAATTGAATTTAAATCGTTGTATAAAAAAATAATAATAAAGATTTTTATGACACATAAGATATTTGCACGTATGTTTTTGTATGGCCATTATTTTTACCTGTAGCGATATATGTAAAAACATCGATTTCAGGTGTGTGAAGGAGTTCTGAACATCGCTATATGTATACAGGCCTATATAATAATAATTTTATGGCCTAACGTGCAAATATGCAGCAGCATGCAGTACTGCTTTGAATCTGTTCTCTTTATTTCCTATTGCAGGGCCGTAGGAAGCAAATAAAAAAAAGGTCAACTCCCCAAAATTCCTTGACAAGCAAAAAAAAAAAAAAAAGGGGGGGGTCATCAGACGTTTTTATTGAGGGGGCACAAGCATAAAGTATCTATGTTTACTATAGAAATCTATATATCGGTAAAATTATTGGGGGACACCCCCCCCCCCGGGTGCCCCCCCCCGGTTCCTACGGCCATGTATTGAATGGTAATTATTGGACAAATAACCTTAAAAGAAAATCAGCATAGTTATACACATTGTGCCTTGTATTTTTTTATAACCCTCTTGGAGCGTTATCTACAATAAATACAGGCCTATTTAAATGTATTTTTAGACACATGTATATGATTACCGAAATTTTCTATTTTTATATTTTATTCTAGCTATAGATCGTAGCCTCTTGCATCTTTAACCTTTTTTAAACTACTTTATAGCCTGAAGTACTGTACATTTCTACTTTTGACGCCACAATGCACTTCTAGATTTAAACTAACCATTATTTTTTTAAAGGTATTTAAATTAAGTAATTTAGAACAAGATCCAAATATTCTTAAAATCCTTCAAAAAGTAGGTCAAAAGCAAGTTGTTCAACAAAGAGGCCCCGGTTGAGCGATGTGTTTTCTGTCCTAATCTCACGTGTTCTGACGTAAATTATCAACACATGATTAAACACCTAGACTTATACACAGATCGGTCTTAGCTGACTAGTAACATCAATCTTATATAGCATTCGTTCATTAAGACATTCCTACAGGTCCCCTCCTATTCTACCCAGCCTGATAGATCTCTGTTTGTTCCTACTTAATTGTGATAGTATACATGTATGTGGCACGTACATCGACGAACCCTAGAAAATGACAGTGTGTCCGCACCCCCTACCCCACCCCCATTTCATCTGCGGTTGATCAACATATGCTTTCTCATTTTTCGAATAGTGTCTAAAAAATCTGTGCTACATATTTTGTTTGTAACTATCAATTTGGATGTATGAGGGGTGATCAATATGAAATATACAAAAGGTCATCAAAAAATATGAAAAACTCTTAATTTATATCTTGAATCTCTCAATGAAATATGAAGATAACGAACAGTAAAGCTCAGAAGTCCATTGAAACAATACAAATTTGGAGTAGAGCAAACACGGACCTCTATAAACATCAGTGGGGGAATCAGGTGCCATGGAGGAGTAATCATCCCCTGTAGATCGGTCACGGTGTGCTCCTTGTCATGATCGGGAAAACGGAAAAATACGCAGACAATTCAGTGTGAAATAATAATGGCCTAACAATTTGTATGAAAAACGTCAGCCAACATTCGACCCAACTGTGGATTGTATTTGCTAACAAGGTCAATGTATCAATCATAGAACTTGCCAAACGTCGACTTTAAACGAGACTGTTGATTTTCTTGTTTCATCAACTTATTTTTCAATAGTTTGCCTCGTTTTAGAAAATAAAAAAAATATCTCAATTATGATGAAAACTTTTTTGATATTTCATTTAACATTTACATATATCGTACTTTATATGTGAAATCTCCACAAATCACGATCTTACAAAGACTGAACCACATTTTAATACATTGATCTTTTCTTTGGGTTCTAGAAAGTGCACCCATGTTTCGTCACCAATTACCCAAGTTTAGGAAATATTTTTGTTAAAATGTTTATTTTTTTTTAAATAGTTCCTTGCAATTTTAACGCGTTTTTGTTTTAGGCATACTTGAGGAAATGTTTGTTTGTTTGTTGTTTAACGTCCCTCTCGAAATTTTTTCACTCATATCGAGACGCCACCAATTGACGGTGGAGAACTGCAAATTTTGACCTATACTCGACACTTAGGGCCATTGAGCAGTGAGGGATCTTTTTCGTGTCAGCACCTACTGCGACACGGGACCTCGGTTTATACGGTCTCATCCGAACGACCGGTCTCCACGTCCCACAGTAGGATTCGAACCCGCGAAGTAAAAATCAACTCTTTACTCCGCGACTCTATAGAGCAAACGCTCTAACCACTGTGCCACGCGGGCGACTTTGAGGAAATGAGACACCAATTTTTGAGGAAATGAGATACCAATCTAACTCAAATATGTTTCAGATTTATTTCCTTTGTCAGGATTCTATGAACTGTTATGGTGAGAAAATACTGGTATTTAATATCTTAGCGATGTCTTTCACTGTAAATTTTACATTTCCGGATATCGTGTTGCCAGCAGCATCGATGTTTTTGGTGTCACCAGATTTTAACTCTCCTTTTTAACTTTTGAATTTCTTAATCCACCTAACACCGTAGTGTTGAAAGACTAGTCCTTTCAGTATATCAAAAACGTATCTTCAGGCGCGGGTCCAGGAATTGAAGTTAGGAGGGAGGACGCAAAAAGTAGGCAGGTCTAGGCCCCGGAAGCTCCTGGATTCTAGAGATTTTGTAGGGCAAAAATGAGATCTACCGAGTGGACATTTTTACATTTTCTCGACGAAACTATGATTTACGCCAACTTTGAGAATTTTAGGGGGCGCTCCCCCTCCTTAAATCCGCTACTGGTCTTCATATGTGTTCTTCAGCGATTTTTATAATGAAGCAGTTTTCACATACGCCCTCCTTTGCATCTTTTTGGCAAAGACCATTTAAAAAAAAATTCAGTTCAGTGAAGTGACCATGCTTAGTTTAGAAGTGAATTTCTTTGCGAAGACAGTAGAAAAAAAGCATGCGGTTTTCGGTCATAATTAGGAGTTCTATAAAAGACTGATAAAATGAAATTGACTGCTTCTAAATTTATTATGATAAACCGTATGTTGCATTACTTGTTGAACGACCCTTGTGCTTCTCTTAATCACAGACTTATTTAATGTCTGACTATGTCATTTCTTTTCCAGGAAAAAGTAATAGTAAAATTCAATAGACCTATGGAATTAAAATGCTATTACAAATGTGTACCTGTTTATAGACTAAGAAATTCCACGAGAAGTATATAAAGTCAAACAAAAGAGGCTTGCATCCGATGTCGTACCAACATAATTGAGATTTTCTAAATTAAAAAAAAAACCAAGGAAATTAATGTTATTTCACAGTCAGTCTAATCACTGATTTTGTTGGACTTCTTCTTTATAAACTATACCGTCTATATATAACGACAGACCCGTAGGAACCGGGGGACAGCCCCCCCCCTCAACAAAATATAACATAGAAGGGGTTTTTCCTTCCTCCATTACTCTGTCCACCAAACCGAAATTTTACTACGTGCCTGGACAATCTATCGGCAGATATTCACGTGTACTGCTTCCACATTAAGAAATCAATGAATAGATTTAGATAGTGTTACAAAGGGCCGGGGAATGGTTCTTCTAAATCTGAACGGAATATTACTGGTGTAGTATCTAAATCAGTATACAAGTATATGCCATAAGACAAGACTTCATACAATGTATATTTCACATTTAAATTTATGCTTTAATTTAAATCCATAAATCTGATAGAAGGCACAATGGGGCATCGTGTAACGCAGTATTGAGTATTATTCTATTCATAATATGTAATAGATATTAGTACATAATTTAACATTCACTGTTTTAGGTCCATCGATCCTGTATATTAAAAAAAGGTGGGAGGGGGGGGGGGTCTTAGGTATTTTTTCAATTGAACACAGACACGTCATCAAAACGAAAATATACGTAAAGCATGACTATGTCGATCCATGAATCAGGAAATTTTTCTTAATAGGCCTATTTTTTTCAACTACGTTCAGAAGAGAATACTTCCACAAATAGGTACTGTGTTGGTTTTCCTGTCATTTTATTGGGTTATAAAATCTACATTGATTCAAATGCTTGATAATTCCATCAGCATGATTTTTAATTTCTCATTCAAGTAATATAATCTATAAATAAATCTTACGTCACAATCAGACCATTCCCATTCTTCCTCAATTTTTTTTTTTTTAAATAGAAAATGCTGGGCGGGTAAGGATTATTTTGAGGGGGAAAGGGGAAAAAATTACAACCCCTTTCCAAATTCACATAGTCTTATGCTCGGATTCTATTTAGAATCATTTACCGTATAAATAGAGAAACTGGGCACTTTGTTGGAAAGCCCACCCAGCCACCCCTCCCCAACTTCCTTCCCTAACCGCTTTTGATTTTTTTTTACCACATTGAAGGCGTTTAAGGAACTGCCCCATGTCTTATATCATGCAAAATAGTGTACAGGAGTATTTTTTTTATCATATTCGAATTCGATCATCATGTCCGTTTGTAACTTTAGTTTTGATTTAGGTTCACACCGTCGCATTTCCAGATTCTGGTTGTTTATATTGTTACTGTAAAAATGGGAAAGAAAGATATCATAAAGCCTCAAATTGGCATCACTTTAAAGGAGCTGCATGAAATTTACCTTCCATAGAATTCAAAGAAGCACGCTGTGTGGCAAAGTCACAATTGATCACTCACTTTTTACAAAGTGCTCAGTTTCTCTATTTATATGGTAAATGACTCTGAATATAATCCGAGCACAAGACAATGGAATTTGGAAGGGGTTGTAAGTTTCTTCTCTTTTTTAAGTACACTGAAATACGATTTTTTAAAAGTCTCTTTTTATGTACACTGAAATACGATTTGTTTTTTTAAAACTGCGAATTTCAGCAGTTTCCATTTTTATTATAATCAGTATATTTAGAGAGACATAGAAAAACACACAATACACAAAATGCACAATTCTGAAACCAAGCCCCCCCCATGGTCAGTGCTATGAGTAACGGGTATTTTACAAATATTCTTGACATGCAAAATCTACTTGTAAGAAGTTCTACTTGGGACAGATTTTATTTAAGATTCTTCAATTAGCCTATTGAACGGGAAGTACCTCCACCCGCGTTCGGAACCCCTTTATAGAAACGAATGTAGGAAATACATTCTGTACGTATGTCATTATAACTTGCAAAAAAAATCTAGCATGTATGTTTGATCCACCCCCTTCTTAGAAGATTGCAAAATTATTTAGAGGAAATTAGAGTGATGGGCCTTTTTGATATTCCTCCGAGGTAAAAAAAAAATGGAACTACTTTCTTTCAATGATAAATACCACATCCTCCGAATTCTTATACTTTAGCTTTGAATTGCTTTATTTTAATGTGTCATTGGTTTTGCCCATGAGATTTTGTTTAAATAAACACAATTAATAAAGATTCAACAGACGATTACCCCGAATTCTTTATATATTCGTTGAAGTATTTGCCAATGGACCTATATTTTGAGGCGTAGAAATACAATGCAGTTCTAGTATAAATAACGGGGTTGCCGATTTGCTATTAGTTGTCATACGGACAACGAAATCTCTGAGATCCACGATAGTATAATGTTTGATATTTTCCAAACTATATTTAGAAGCGACATATATAGGACTGCAGATTATGTCAATGAAAGGTATTACAAGTATGATAGTGGGCCAAGTGCAGGGTGACAGTTTTAATATTAGCTCAGATGAAATTATTTTCCATACTACGTCGGACTCGGCCTCCGTTTTAAGGGAAAATGGTAGCCCCCGTGAATGTCAACAAAGAAAAGACACTCGTGTGGAGCCCCTGGGGATAGAAAACAATAGTGAGGCACTCGAAGGGAGCGAGTCGGACAACCATTGTGATTCAGCAGAGAAAAAGAAAAGGAGGAGACGGCTGAAGGGTGGAAAACATCACCGAAAGTGGAAGCCGTACGAAAAATTGAGCTGGAATGAGCGCCGTGAATTGGAAGAGAGGGAAACGCAGCGAGCAAACCAGAAACGTGAGGAGGCGTTTGCAAGTGGCCACCCGGTAGCGCCTTATAATACAACCCAGTTTCTAATGGAAGATCACGGAAAGGCGGATCCAAATATTGATGATGGATTACTCAATCGAAATAATTCTCGGGAATCGATCGACGGGAGCGGATCCACGAGTGACTCGTCGGAAGAAATGTATTCAGAGGAGGAAGAATTTTTGGAGAAAGAATTTGAGGAGACCTACGATAATATGCACGCAGAGAGATTGCAGAAAATGAGCAAGGACGAATTAATTAAGGATTACATCGAGATGGAGACTAAATTGGACAGACTGCAGAGGCGATTGGAGCGACGCAATAGACGCAACAATGATACAGCTGACGAAAGTTCCGGTTCATTGAGCAGCGGCGGCGAGGAGTTTGTTGATATGGACGTGGTGCGAAAACTAGAGGCGGAACAAGAAAAACTCAAAAAGGAAAATGAACATTTAAAAAAAGAAATGTTAAAAATGACGAAGAAATCCAGCTGATAGCTCTAACAATTTTTTACAATTTTTTTAGGAATCAATTTGAAGGCGAGTTTAAGCATATTATTATATTTTATAAAAATGGAAAACGGCATAAAGATAATATTATTAAATGCATTTTTAAAAAAAATTGGGTGGGATTTTTTTCCCTTGAAGATTTAACTTTAAAGATATTTTACTACAGTTTGATCGATGCTATACATGTTTGTCTTTCCTCGCACTACAGGATGCAGGAAGAGATCTAGTGATCAAATTCTGGTTTTAGAAAGGGAATCGGGGGATAGTAATTATGGTAATTATAAAAGGTTTTTAAAATAAATGAATTAAGAAAAAAGATCTCTTTCTGTCTGAAGATGTTAAGAATTTTGCATTGAAAAGGGAAAGAGTGGATTTAGTCACTTCAATGTGCAGCAAATATGTGCCATTTACTTTGTGTTCATGAAATCATGGCATTATTATTTTTTCTTCAAATTCATATATTTTTTATGATTTTTTTTATTGGAAAAAAAAATTACAAAATAAGAAAAAAATTATCAAATTGATCTCATAACTTTTTAGTTCATGAAAATATTAGGTTATTTTTAAATGTTTTTGTTATATTATTATACACTTATTGTTGATATCTATTAAAGCACAATATTTGTGAAAACATGGTGTACCACAATGTCTTTCCTTTTTCAATAACATTTATGCATTAAATGTTTAATCATGTATTCTGTAAAAGTTGTGTTGATTGTATGCTTGGTATAAAAGAGGAAGGGGTGAGAATTTTGTCTAGCCTCTCTAGATGCATCTACAGTACACTGTCAATAATAAGTTGCATTGAAAATAAAAAAAAAATATTTCAATGCGCTTGTAATAAAACGACAAAATTTTTTGCAATGTATAAAAACTTCCTTAGCAGCTGTCTCCTGAAATGTCACCTGTTTGGGTCAATGGCCATTGTTATGCAAAGACTTGCATAGTCATCAATGGCAGAATTTTTAAAGGATTTCTTTACAGCTGATGAATGAATGAATGTGTACATGTGTTTCAATTTTTGACATTTTGGTCTTCATCTGAGAACCAAAGTACAAAAATCAGTTAATAAAGTCCCATTTTACAGGTATGCAGAGGAATTTTAGTGCTTGTGACTATCACATCTAAATGATAAAAATTTAACATTGTGAAATGTGGGACCAAGTAAGTACTGTCAAATTTGTCAAAAATGTTCAAATGTGGTGCATTAAATGAAACTGTATTTTCCTAGAGTTAGGAATAGTGTAGACTCATTTTACATGTATCTGGGCATTTAAGAAATATTTTGTATTTCTTGATATAAAATGTTGAAAGGTTATGTTTTAATAAAAAGGAACATGAAATCCTGTCATTGTTTGTTTCCTAAAATGCCTGACTGGAAAAAAAAAAAATAACCAGTTAGCAAGAAAGACTGTCTTCAAAGTATATGTACTAACTTCATTAACTCAGGTGTTTACATCTTAATGGTAAGATGTGAAGAGTAGCATTTGGAGAAGGAATAGCAATTACAGATCAGAAAGCATAAGGACTTCTAAACCACTGATGGACAGTGGAGTACTGAAAGTAATTAGTTTGCCACTGCCCCCTTCTCCCCCCCCCCCCCCCCCCCAAAAAAAACCCATAAGCTCTACTGGGTTTACTGATACTTGTTAATAGAGGAGAACCTTAACCTTTATCTTTTAAATATACAGAATCAGATATTCTGATGTTTTTTTCTAAACTTGGTACAAGTTTTGGAGTGGACTGCCAAAAATTCATATTTTAACATTTAATAGCCATAGCAACACCATAAAATTCTTAACCAGTAAAGAGAACTATGTACCCTGGTAACTTTGGTATAGTCTTTGAAATGAAAAAAAAAAAGATACAATATGGAATAACCTACTTTGTATGGCAGGTTTTATTAAAATTAGGACCTAAGCTGTAGGAAGAGTAGCATTTTGAAAGAATGTAACTTCTGTTTTACCAGTAGTAACCATGGCAACAGTATTCTTGGTGTAGTCTACTTGTGTACCAATTTTGGTTTTGAAACTGGATCAAAACTAGAAGGTGTAGCATTTTAAAAAGATGTTTACAGATGAAATGACACCTATAGTCTGGTCTTTGACCAGTAGACTTATAAAGTTATGAAATACTGCACTGTTTTAGATGATGTATAACTCAGCGATTTCATGAAGTATATGGAATGCTGGCAGTTGGTCCTTGGGCGACCTTTAAAATGTTTTGCTGAAAAGGACCATAAAATATTAACAATGTTGCAATGAAATACTGCATTTTGATCTTTAAAAAAATATATATTACTAGTCTATTCCAAGAGTTATGGGATATAGCTAAAGAATGATTCACCTTAAATTCCTACAAGTTGGCTCTCTTCAGAACAAGAAATGTTCAATGATTCAATGTTTGTGCAATAGATGCCTCTTACTTGTGTAGCCATGACCTACTTGAAGTTTAAGATGCTTGTAAAATAATATAAATAGTCAAACTTGGCGCTTGCATTTCTCAAGAAAATTGCAGGGCCTTGTATTAAATTACTTCCCTACAAGTACAGTGTACATTGTATATGTGATGCACAGTGTGGAGTATTCCGATAATTACATGTACTTTTAACTGCACATTTTTTTTCCATAAAAAAACTTTTCTTAAACAAGGTATCGGTCTGCATTCAATGACAAATCTTTCATGAATCAATTTGTCTGCACACTGATTAAGCTGTTTTTAGCTCTCGTCTGTTATCATCTTATGCAATAGTTAAATGTTTGTAGACAATACTCCTTCCACAATTTTAACCCAATTTCAGTGATACTTGATGCACAAGTAGACTTTTCAAAGATACAAATAAAGTTCTGCATATCCATATTTGATTGCTATGAAAAGTGAGGCCCATGTGTGATCCTTCTGTTGAATTCTTTTAAAATGGTTCTTGTACAGTTTTGTCCGATTTCAATAATACCTGGTACACAGGTAGATTATACCAAGATGCATAAAATTTGTGCATCTGTTTTGAATTTTTATAAAAGGTTAGGCATGCAATGTACTAAAAAGAGGCCCAATTAAGGGCCTTAATAACAGTTACCAGCAGGAGAAAATACAACCCTGTAAGGGATTCATAGAATGGGAAAGGATAATAAAATAATGCTAAGAAAACAGAAACAAGTGGAGCGCTAGCACATGGGTCAGTGATCATGGGTGTTGGGCAATTACCCAAAGGTCGCTGGTTCAAGTCCCACCATGGGCACTTGTATGTTGTGTCCTTAGACAAGGCACTTTAATCTGCATTGTCTCAATTCACCCAGCTGAAATGGGTATACCGGCTACGCTGGGATGTAACAGGCGATTGACCGGTGTCCCATCCAGGGGGAGTCAATGACTCTCATCCACTTAGCACCACAGAAACTGGGTACATTAGCTCCCAGCCTTAGGAGCCTCATGGCTTGGAGAACGATTTTTTAAACAGAAACAAGAGAAATAAGCTCATCAGGGATAATCAAAATAGTTAGGTAGGTAATCTGCAACAACTCTGTAATTTGCCTGCATATGAAAGTGCTATCTACACTCCCATCACTATCACCAAACATAAGAAGACAACAGTGCTTTAGATTAAAACATAACTTCTCTTAAATTTGACGAAAAATTCCCATAAATGATCATGATAGAGCCTCGCCCAAACTACAGAACCCCAGTCTCAGGGGCCATAAATTTTACAATTTTGGAAGAAACACCCTCGCTCATGATATCTATATTTTATATGCACTTAAGATTTTCAGCCTCATCAGAAGAATTTTAAAGAAACAATGCATTTTCATCATATGATGTAAAGAGCCCCATCCTAACAACACAACCCCAACCCTGGTTTCATGAATTTCAAAATTTTGGTAGAGGGCTCAGTGCTTAACAATCATGCCAACAGTTTGACTGCTTGGTTCCAGGAGTAAAAAAGATTTTTAAAGATTGCATTAAGGACCCTCTATACACTGATGAAAAATGTTTTTTGGACTTTGAGAAAATTATATAGCGTAAAGGAGGATATTTTGAAATTAACTAATTCATTTTTGATATAAGGGAGCGTGCCTTTTTTATCCAGAAAAAAATCTTCAAAGATAATGAAGTAATTATAGAAAAAATTTTCTTTTGCTTACTAAAATGGAGAAAATACATGCAAATAAAGTTTTCAACTACTCTATCTTGGTCTAATATAATGTTTAGAAAACTTGGATTTATTTTTAATTGTGTTATGCCGTGCAGATTACAATATATTCTATTTCTATATCAAATGATGGGTCAGTCTAACTACACAAAAGTACCCTGAAATTAGGGTGGAGTGTGGAGAGGGTCCTTAATTTTGAATATTTTAGCCCTACTCCTCAAGTCGGGGGGGGGGGGGGGGGGGGGGGGCAGGGACCATGAAATTCACAATTTCTCCTTTACTCATAGATGCTATTGCCAAAATTGGTTGAAAATGGTTCAGCAGTTCCAGTCATCAGAAGCTGAAAATGTTCAAATGTTAACGAACAAAGCATGGCGGACAAACCCCAATAGCAATAGGTCACCTGAAGACTCGAGTGACCTAAAAATCAAAATTTCTCAAATATTCTTTCGAATTGCTACTCCTAGCTCATAAGTTTCATTTTCACTTATATGTACATCAGGTCACTAAAGTTTCTGCTGAAATTGGTCACAGTGGACTTAATGTGTAATAAAGACATAAAATAGCAATCCATATTTTTCCAGCAGATAAAAGAGAAAATGTTATTCCATGGAATTATGACCCTATGGAATGGGAAAAAACTAAGTTTACAGTACATAAATCTATAAATTTATATATAGGTTTTTAAATTTTCAAGGTGTTCCAATGAGTTGCCGCTTAAAGTAGAATGTGTGAAAATTTTCACCAGATGGGACATACGAAGGTGAGCAAACTTGAATATGCATGAAGTAAAAGCGAGCACAACCTGATGATGTGTACCGGTAGTTTTGTTGTTTGAGCTTACGATGATTTTGAAGTCATTTTAAATAGTTTTTGAAAAAACTGGATGTACTGTGGACAAAAAGCAACAATTTTAACACTAAATTTATGTATACATTTAATTGCACATACATATGACTATTAAGTGTTTATGCTCTGAAAATAAATGCATGCATATTTAATCTGTTACCCAAGATTATTCATGTGGGGAGAGCTAGTAGCTAACTAAAACAGAGATGTGTTCCTGATGCTCATGATAAAAATGAACTTGAAAAGACAAACTGTAGATTTTTGCAAATTCAGAATCTTTAAGCTATATATAGATATAAGAAGATTTTGCACATTCCATGTATATTTCATATATGCAGTAAAACATCTTTATTGTGAAAACAGGTATTGTGAATTAGTGCTTATTACAAACTTATATTTTTCACTGAGTATTTGGGGAAAAAAAGCTTGAATATAACAATTTATTTCAAAATAAAGCCATTTTAGCTTCCTGGCAATTCGCTAATACTGTGTTTTTCCTTTTTTTGTTGTTCTAGGATTGATAGTCTGAAAGTTTTACATGTCACCATCTAATGAAAGTTTAGAACTACTGTAGGAAGCTTACTTATTTTATCAGGTTCATATATTGGCACCTTTGATGCTATTCTTAATCCTATACCACCAAAAAACTGATATAGGAATTCATCATTTCACAAAATAGTTCCTAACTTACATGTACAGTCAAACCTTGTTATCCTGAACTCAATAGGGCCAAGAAAAAACTTTAAGATATCCGAGGATTCAAGATATCCAGGGTAAAATACTTAAAAGAATAAGGGGATGGGACCTCCAAATCACTTCAACATATCCATGGTATTCGAGATTTCAGTGTTCGAGATACTGAAGTTTAACTGTATGTTTTCACCAAAACTGGAATACACTAACAATAATACACATATAGCATCAGTTATATTGAAGTAATTTGGTACTTAAATTATCACTGTAACTGGAATACACTATAAATATATGCAGTGTCAATTACATTGAAATAATTTGGTACAAGTAGGAAATTCAGGTCTTCCAAGCATTTCTTCAAAATCTTAAAGGGCTGCCATTTTACATATCTTGAGTTAATACTGCTGTTAAATGAATTTTTCATTAAAAACTATAGTCTTCTAATAAATTTCAGGGTATAAAATTTTAATGAAGCTTTAAGTCATTAGAAATCATTACAGACACCAGTTATAACAGAAAATTTTAAATATCCTGCATGCAAATCTTCAATTTCCAAACTGCACAGATTGATATTTGTACTTAGTACATATACTACGGAAATCACAGCAATCATGGTAAACCAAGCAATATTCTAAAAGGGAAAAAAATGAAAATGTACTTTGTGTAAAAAGGAAAATGTATTTTGAGTCAAATACAATTGTACATAAAGTCCATAAAAAGTAAATCAATATTTTTTTTCTTGTGCTGTTGAAATAACATACATTTCTGTATAATCTTCTAACAGAAATTTATTATTCTCAACAGTGTTATCTGACAGTGATTCTGACAATAATTTTTCAAAGGTATTGAAGGAATTTAAAAAAAAAAAAGGTTTCTTAAGTGCATTTCAAATGTGCATAAACTTTTGTAAATGTAACAGTTCTTTTCTTCTGAATTTACATCTTTTAAAGGTTCGTCAGTGCATATCAATACATTTACATGCCAAATATGGAGAAAAATTACAATAACTTTCAATTACTCAACAGAAGCATGATTGGATGATTGAAATCATATTGTTTCCTAACACCAGGTTTCAGGCTCTGAATTAACATTATACACATACATCAAAATGTAAAACATTTATTGTAGTTTCGACCATGACATGTACATATTGTTGGGTATGCATGTAAATTTTAATTGTTATCTTCCAGTACTACATGTAATAAGATATGATTACATTGCAGAGATACAGTGCTTATCCCTCAATACATGATATTTAACATTACTATTGAAAAAAATTCATCCAGCAGAAATTCTTTCCTACAACTCATTTACACATACTGGTGTCATCTCTCTCAGTTTGCAAAATGAAGTTTGAAAGTCATTTACATGTACATGTATATAACACATGTGTTTCATTTCCAAATCTGCAGTAAAATTCTGCCACTTCTACTGATTGTAAAACAAAACTTAGCAAACTAACGAGAGACATGTTCAACTGTGAAACTAATTCTGAATTCACTCGACTCAAAATCACTGAAACTGCTTGACACATCAAACAACAGGTCTTTTTCATTGGATTCACAGTATCATAATCATGTTATTATGACATAAAAAAATCAAATAATCACAATATACAAATAATTGAAAATAGTATCACATTGGTCTAATTAAACACCAAAAAGAGAAGCATAATATGACTTAATCTTTCTTTTCCCAGAAAAATCTTTTTTTGTCTTGCTTCAATTCTTTAAATATGAGAATATGTCTAAACTATCCACTTATAATAGTTGTCTATCTCCATTGGTTTTGTTGTGGATATGGTTGATTTCCACCAGGATAGCCTTGCTGTGGATATTGTTGTTGTGGATAGCCCTGGCCTGGATACTGTTGTGGATAGCCTTGTTGAGGATACCCCTGTGTGGGGTATCCAGAGGGCTGGGAATATGTATAAGGATTGTATGGGTTGAAGCCCGAGGGCATGGCTGGCATAGGCATCCCCTGGTACCCTCCTCCGGCCTGAGGGTAAGGAGCATTACCCCATGATTGCTGACCTACAAAATCAAGAAATCGTTCATAAAAAAAGTAACTTTAAACACAAAATAAAAATATTTCTTAATTTATCTCATAAGGGGACATTTTGTTTGTTGACCCCATTTTAAAAACTGTGTCAATGTATTATACTAAAAATATGTGTAAAATAAAAACTCCATTCTGATCTACAAAGAGCAACTTATTTTTTTTTAATGCTATATTGTATCAAGGATAAGTTGCTAAGAAATCACCAATGAAAAACACACAATGACGATGCACTACTACAAGCTCATTTTACTGATAAAGTACATGTACTTTCCAATACTATCATACAATATCTTCCTGTTCCCTATCATGTAGAGATGTGCTTTACGTAAATGAGAGGCTTTAAATGGAGATCCTGCTGCATACTTACCTGGCCCTGCATAGTTTTGTGAGGAAGGCTGGGCAGGGGGTGGAGCAGAAGGATGATTGGCTATTGACGAGAAAAAAAGGAAGAAAGCGATCAATCATATGTTGTCATTATACGGGTATAAACAGTGTGGTTATTATTGTACAGAATACACAGCGAAGCAGTCTCAAAGCATATTTAATTTTTAAGTTTATTGTTATACATGTATATAAAATATTATTACGCTAAACAATTTTCATGTTTTTTTTCTCAAATACATATCATATATCTAAAATAATCATATATTCACAATATCTGTCATCATAATTGAAGTTCTGTATAGAGACAGAAATATAACTATATGAGTTGCTATTTTAGAATATTTGGAAAGTCCTAAATTGAAAAAAAAAATTGAATTCAAATCTCTTTATTATTTATAATTACTATATCAAAGTATTGAATATGTTTAAAAATTGACTTGAAAATGTGCACCATTCAAAAATTACGATTAGCATACAACAAAAACAATAATAAAAGGAAGTTTTATAGGTCATGTATGTGACATACATATAGTATGTACAAGTATATACAAATCACGTTTTCTTTCAACTGTAATTGTATAAAAACTTCCTGCTAGTTTATAAAGAACCTGGTTTTAACTTCCTACTGCTTGGAACATGGATATGAAACAAAATGTTGGTATCTACTAGCAATCTACAGCACATTTCCCCCCCTCCTTTTCATAAGTTCAGATTTTAATTTTACAAGGTTATTCAGTCTTCTCCTTCAAGAGAAAATGTAAACACAGCCAAGTCATTGATATTTGAATGTCAAGTCCTCAGCAATTCAAATACAGGAAAATACTAAATGTTAATTTTCAGCCTTTCATGCTTGTTTCAAAAAGTCTACATACCGTAATTATCTGAAATAACCTTCAATTAACATTTTACTGACATCTTAAAAATGCTTATACATACATATATACCCCCTTAAATTATTTTTCAAGTAAAAAAAATACCTGTATATATTAAGTAGTTATTATCTAATTATCATATCTGTATGAAATTTAATAAATTTCAAAGATACTGATGAAACAATATTTTCAAAATATTGAATACAGCAGAAAACCTGCCAACCCTTGACCCCAAAATCAAAAGGATCATAACATATTCATTTCTCAACTTGTGTATAAAGTTTGATGACTACATGTAACTAGACAATTTTTAAGATATTAATTTGTAGGGATTTGATGGACTAAACCACAGGTACTTGTTTCTTTAATAAAATTTTACCCCTATAATATACTAATACTATGGGGGTAAACTTCTATTACAGAAACAAGTGTCTGTGGATTTAAAACCTTTAACCTTTGGTCTAAAATCAATAGGCCAGGGTCATTTATATACCATATAGACATCCTCTATATAGCAAAGAATTTTAATTCAAAGATAATAGCTGATCAATATTCAATGTGGATATAGAATATAAATATGTGTCCTTTGATCTTTTGGTGTTTGATCATAATCAAGACATTGTTCCTCAAGATATGTGGGTGAGAAATCATTTGATGTGGGTAAACATGTAGCAGAAAAACCTCACAATCTTTTATCTTTTTTGATCTGAAAATCTGCTTATTATAGCTAATCCATGTATAAAGTTTGATGCAATCTAAAAAAAACATTTCTCAGGATATAACTGTCAGAGATATAGCAGAAAACCACTTGACCTTTGACCTAAAAATCAACAGCTTCTCCTAAAGGGGACATGGACATGTAAAGCATCATCAGCTGTTATAGAGTATGAAATATACTGCTTTTTTATCACACAATGCTCATATTAAATATATGCAAATATATGTGATACTCGGTTTGGAGTATACCAGTACTATATAACAGGGTTATTTTTTCCCCTTATCACACTTGAAACTATCAGACATGAGTTGACTTAAAAAGAGATAACTCTGCCTCATTTAAATTCGCCCCATTTTGAATTCATCCATTGAAGACGAGGGTTTCAAGGGTGAAAATTTCCCTGTATAAAGTATTTTTTCTATTTCATTCCTTTTCACATGTAAATTTCAAATTCATCACTGTTTAATTCTTATCATTTCTAAATGGCTGAATACATGAAAGTTTTCATTAAGAAAATTGTACTTGTTATATGGTTCAAGTACAAGTAAGTTACTTATTTTGTATACTTATGGAATTAATGTTAATCTTGCAAGAAATTTAACAATAATGCAATACTTGGAGAATGTTAATACAGTCAAACCTCGTTATCCCGAACTCGATGGGACCGAGATAAAACTTCAAGATATCTGAGGATTCGAGATATAGAGGGTAAAATACTTAAAAGAATAAGTAGCTGGGACTTCTAAATCACTTCGACATATCCATGATATCTGAGATATCAGTGTTCGAGATACCGAAGTTCAACTGTATTTTAAAGGAAATATGAAAGACAAAAGCTTTACAGACATACAGTGTAGGATGATAAAGTGCTGACTGGATAGTGCCTTGGTATATATATTAGTACATTTGAGGACTCTATACTAGTACCTTCTGTTCTACTTGTATTAGTAGTGCTAGTAGTTGTGCCACTTGTTTGTCCTATAACAAGGATTGTACTCCATAAAATAGCCAAACGTTTCCTTATTTAAACGTGATGATGAAATTATCAAAGCAATAAAATCTTCATGTTCTAACATTCATAAATTAGCAAGGGACATTAAAAAATAAACACCTTTATATTCAACTGATTGGAAAATAACCTTTAAATGATTTAAATGTCGGTATATTTACAGCGTATTTGAGTTTACCGCTTGAGATACAAATGAACTATGGATGCATGTTCAAGCAACATGCTGGGATGTACAAGTACATATATTTCATGACCAATTCAAGCCTGAAATCACAATGCTGCTACTATAACTCAAAATTACATTAGTTAATCAATCCACTTAGAATAGTGACCCATGCACATTTAACCACTGTGAAGGACAGTAATTAAGATATTTACCAGACATATATTGTGGAGGGGGGCCTCCAGGGTAGGAGTAACCACCTACAGGAGGCCCTGATGGGGCACTAGAGTATGAAGGAGGCCCTGACTGTGTATTTGGTTGCCCACTCTGAGTACTGGAGGAGGAGGGAGAAGGCCCTGGAGAAGCAGAAGAGAACTGGGGTGGTGGCGGTCGAGCAGGTGGTGCCCGACTCTGTGTGGTAGCTACAACAACCCACAGGTCAAAATGTAAAACAAACTAAAAACCATAGAACCTGAATTAGCAATGAAGTGCACAACAAAAAATGAAAATCAGTGCAAAAAAAAAATGTGTTGCTAACTGAAGAGCATTTGTTTCCCAGCATGATAGAGCTGGAGCAAATTCAGGACAAGATAATTAAAAAATATCATTATATACCTTGAATTACTTTTTTAATGTCTCCAATAAATTCACATAATTTATAAAAATAAATTTGCTTGTACTAGTAAGTTGTGCATGAAATACCACGACATTTCATTTTAAAGAAAGTGCTCTTCAATTAACAATCAGAAGTCAAGATGAAAACTATTTTTAAAAAAATCTTGAAATTTTATATACAAAAATGAACACGGCAAATATTCCAGCCAAGATTGGGAATAATGTTGTACGACCATACCTGATGGACTCTGGTAGCTGGGTGGTGGAGGTGTAGGTCCAGTTGGCTGACTGGCAATTGATTTTTGCAGATCAGACATCAACTCATCTTTCTCTGTCTTTCGCGCAAAACAGAAGTCAGAAATTTTGTTCTGTAGACGGACTAGTAGGGGTGTCAAATCATTGTAGAACTGAAAATAAAATAATCATACCAGATATGATCCACGTTTTCCAATTGTTTCAAAGAAAAAATAACAAATGGATAACAAACCTGTTTTTTTCTCATTCATGACTTGATTACAATCAAACCTTATCTCAAACTCCATGGTACTGAGAAAAAAACTTCAAGATACATGTATCTGAAGATTCAAGATATCAAGGGTAAAATACTTAAGGAATATGTTGTTGGGACTTCCAAATTACTTTAATATATCCATGGTATTCCAGACACTGGTTTTTGAGATACCGAAGCTCAGCTGTACATTCATTGTATTTTATATTTTACATTATTTATTTATAATTTTATATTCATTATATTCATTATATCTGGCATTGATAAGCTCTCAGATTAATGCCCTAATGTTCATACTCAGAAAAGTTATGTAGATACATCTATCTTCCTAACTACTTTGAACTAAGTCTTGCAATCTAAATTTTTGAGCACCAATGCTTTCCAGGATTTTTCTTTTCTCATCAATATTACAAAAGTGACAAAATGATCCCCCCTGCTTTTTCTTTAACATTAGAATAGTACCAGCATGATGTGTACAATACACACCTTTGTTCCCTCTTCTAAGTTGCTTTTCAGCTCCATAAACATATCAAACCCAGCAGCGAGGTCCTTCAGCATTGCCTCCCTTTGTGCTCCACTTTGATCAGAGGCCTTGGCTTGACAAAACTCCATGTTTGCTGGCTGCATGGAAAATTTCTCTTTTTTAAATTTTTTTTTAAAGCATTTCATTACTTTCACATAAAATAACATTTCAATGGTAAATGTCATGTGCTTGGTAGTTATGAAACAAGAGTTAGGATAAGTAATGGCAATGTTGCCCAAGAAAAGCTAAATGCATCAAATATGGTACACATTTACATAAACATCGCACTGGTATAAACTTATATTATCAATTCAAGGCTGTTAAATTTAACAAGACTGAAGAGTCGAAGAATAACATACTCACATATAATTTTAAGTAATTTTTTAAAGAATTCAAACAATTCAAACCATAATATTATCTAACTAATGTGATGGATTAAATCTTTTATTCTGAAAACTGTACCTGAACTTGGGCCATAACAGAATCTTGTTTTCGAAGACTCTCATTGACTTGTTCCCTTAGAGGTCCGTAAATTCTGTCTAGCTCACTCATTGATAACATTTCCTCATTTATTGCACCCTCTGAGGCCAGTGCTGAGAAAAACTTGCTAGCTGTAGAAGACATCAGAATATATATAAGATGGAGAAAAAAATTACAACTTAAAATGCATGTTGATAGAGGCTCATTGATATATTTGACAGCTTCTTTCTATATTCATGTTAAAAAAATTCCACACCAAAATTTTATGGAAATAAAATAGTATATGGATATTATAACATTCTTCTACACTCAGAATAGGGGGAGGTACATGTAAGATAATAAGTAGGTACATTTCAGAAAATCAATCTATCACATATACTTTTTCTTTACTTACTCATGTCAAACTTGGCCTCTTTCAATTCATTTTCTATGGCTTCTCTCTCGGCTTTAATGGTTTCTACATCGTCCATGAGTTTACGCAGTTTCTGAACCACCCCAGTACTCTCTGAAGCATGAGCACCACCTCCAGACGGTAGAGCTTTATCTATTTCTGCCTAAAAAAAAGCAAAACAAATGGTGTTTTTTCTCACTGCTATATAAAAAATGCTATTCTATTGTGACTTCCTGACACAAATAATACCCCAAAAGGACAGTTTTTGCAAAGTAAACATGTACTAATTAGTACACATTTATTTCCAATAAGCTATCTGTAGCAACCACAGTTACACTGAATCTAAGGAAAAGAATTTAATTCTGAAAACTATTGCACACATATACAACTAAAAATTGTTGTACAGTGTATTGGCTGCATTTTTTTGAACAGAAAAGACCAGTGATACAAGTACATGTAACAAAAACAAGATGTGTTTGTGAAACACTGATGCCTCCGTATGGCATCTTATGGCGAAGGTTAAAGTTTCTCAAATGCAAGTCAAAATCCAGGCCAAAAGATAAAAAATGTTAAATTTGAAAGCCCCAGCTGCAACTGTTCAAAAGTTATGGCAAAGTTTTTTAAAAGTAAGTAAAACTTCAAGGTCAAGGTCAAAGTTGTTGGTATCCAAAGGAAGGTCTTGTCACAAGGATTACATATGTAAAGTATGAAAGCCCTAGCAACAACCATTCAAAAGTTATGGCCAAGGTTAAAGTTTTCTGAAAGTACGTCAAACTCCTATGTCAAGGTCAAAGGGTCAAAGTGGTTGGTATCCAAAGGAAAGTCTTGTCACAAGGATTACATATGTGAAGTATGAAAGCCCTAGCTCTAACCGTTCAAAAGTTATGGCCAAGGTTAAAGTTTTTCAAAAGTAGGTCAAATTCCTAGGTCAAGGTCAAAGGGTCAAAGAGGTTGATATCCAGAGGAAGATCTTGTCACAAGGAATACACATGTGACTTTTGAAACCCCAAGCACCAACTGTTCAAAAGTTATGGCCAAGGTTAAAGTTTTTCAAAAGTAGGTCAAACTCCAAGGTCAAGGTCAAAGGGTCAAAGTTGTTGATATCCAAAGAAAGGTCTTGTTACAAGGATTACATATGTGAAGTATGAAAGCCCTAGCTCCAACCGTTCAAAAGTTATGGCCAAGGTTAAAGTTTTTTAGAAGTAGGTCAAACTCTAAGGTCAAGGTCAAAAGGTCAAAGTTGTTGGTATTCAAAGGAAGGCCTTGTCACAAAGAATACACATGTGAAGTTTAAAACCCCAAGCACCAACTGTTCAGAAGTTATGGCCAAGGTTAAAGTCTCATAAAATTTTGCAAAAGTGGGTCAAACTCCAAGGTCAAGGTCAAAAGGTCAAATATGATGGTACCCAAAGAAAGGTCTTGTCACAAGGAATACACATGTGAAATATGAAAGTTATAGCTCCAACCAATCAAAAGCTATGGGCAAGGTTAAAGTTGACAACAGACAGCCAGACAAACAGACAAACAGATAAACAAACAGACAAACAGATAAACAGACAAACAGATAAACAGACAAACAGACAGACAGGACAAAAACAATATACCCCCGGGATCTTTCGATCAGGGGGCATAATAATATGGGTATACATGCATCTTTATGTATGACCCATCCTCCTTTATAGCCATCAACATATATATGTATATCAAAATATCAAAACACTGAATTAACACTGAACAAAAATGGAAAGCAACATAAACTTAAATGCAGCTCTCCCCACTCACTGGTGATTTTGACAGCAGTTCTATGGCCTGTTTATGTTTTTGGTATTTTTCCTTTACTATGCGGTCAGCATTTATTGCCGTGTCCAGTATCTGTTTATACTTCATGCTCTCGTCTCTCATGGGTTGGGTCAGTTTGTCCGAGGGCGTACGCGTCCACCTCTCCTTAAACTGTTCTCTCAGCTGTTTATCTGATGCTTCCTCCTCTTCTAGCATTCTAATTGACTGAAATGAAAATTCATTTATACAATTGTTCACACCTCATTTATGAAACCTAGCTACTGTAGAACAAATGTTCATTTTTAAGATGTGTAATTCCTATGCATCTGGTCAAGATATATATGTTCAAGTACTAGACTTTCCTCTGGGTTTTTTTTTTTTTTTTTTTTTTTTGAAAGAAAAACTATCTTAGTAACAAGGAAAAGAAATGTGGTGCATTCCTTTATTATTCAAGAAATGAAATGCTGGTTAGCACATCAATTTCATATATATTTTCTTTAATAAACCAAAATGAAATGCATTTCCTTTTATAATTTTTGGAATGGAAGGCCAGTTAACATATAACATTTTAAATACATGTGTTTCTGTCTGGCTAATCCATTCTGATGTATGCCAGAACTTTTAATTTCCCCAAGAACCCCCTAATCATACAGAAAGTTTTACCTCATTAAGGATTTCTCTATTCCTCTGTAGTAGTTCTGGTAATTCATTCATTAGTTTATCTAAGTATTGTATTCCTCCTATATCCTTAATCTGCTGGGCTTTCTCTATAACAGACTGGGGGACCTTCTTTCCAGATAAATCCTCCAAAGCTGCAGGCAGGTTCAAAGAGGCTAATATACTGAAATGGAAATACAACAAATACCAGTTTTTTGTGAAAAGGTAAAAAAAAAAAAAAATTATGCTCTGATACATAAAAAATTAAACCTTTTAATACTGACATTTTTACTTCCCAATATCTAAACTTCTTTTTGACAAATATATATATTCATCATTTTTTATGCCATTTTACTTTAATCTATTGCGAGTGAGCAATCAAAGGGAGGAAACTCTAAATAATATCTGTACCTGTTCATAAGCTGAGTCTGTTCTCGTAATCTACCAATCTCAGTATTCATTATCTGTGTCTTCCTGTTTTCAAAAGCTGTGAGTGCTTCATAAACTGGTATTGGAACAAGCTTTTCAAACAAATCTGTAATAAATGAAATAATGAATTACCTTCAGTCTGAGCAATTTCACTAAAAAATAAAGTGCATCGCCACAGCACATGTTACACCCATCAGATATTGTTCAATTATCATAAACAGATTAGAGTGCAAGGGAGAAAATTATGTCAACCTTGGGACAAAGATTTCAATGATTTTTCTATTCTTACGTTTGATGTACCTCTCCTATAGTGTAGTAATCAATCAGAACAGAAAATACATCATATATTTCTCATCTGGTTGTGTTAAGAGTTTTACAAATGCCCATCTGCAGTTCTGTTAATTGTCTTTTTCAGAATAATGAACAATGCTACAACCTAATAGAGCATCAAAACACTGATCATTCTTTTAATTCTTAGACTGTTAAACTGTCATTTTAGTGAGACAAGACACTCTGCAATTTCTTGTTGAGATATAAAAATTAAAATAAAAAATATTATATTATTCATAATCAAATGAATTTGAATAACTTTTGAAAGTAACGAATAGCCAATATTGAATGAGAACTATTTTAATTAGACAAATGCTATCAACTGCAAATTAAGAGGCCAGATTCTTCTACCCAGTCCCAAGAGGTATAGATAACTTGCTTGATCAGAGACACTTTACCAGAAATCTTCTTGCACTAAACTCACTAATCTCTAACTTGACAGAAGCAACTTTGAAACACTGAGAAGTGGAATTTCTCTTGTTATATTTAAATTTTACTGTATTCTTTACCATGAAAATTATGTCTATTTTCTTTATATACTATTTTTAATAAGGTTACTGCAATACTTTTACACCTGTTGGGATTGTGTAACTTAAAAACATAGCTTTTTTAAAATTTCATCTTAATTTAAGGTCACAGTGACTTACTTACTTAAAGTAAGATGTGATACATGTACACTTTCTACCTAAGATGCATCAATTGACCAAGTTTGATGAATCTAGGCCTAATAGTTTTCCAGTTATGAGCCATATTATTTTTGCCATATTTGGCCATATCATCTTATGAAAATCACAGCGACCTATTTTAAATGTGCAACACTCCTTCTACCCAACATGTATCAGCTGACAAAGTTTGATTATTCTAGGCTTCATAGTATTTTAGTTATAAACAAGACACGAAAAAGCTACCAGACAGACTAGATCACAATACCATAATACGTCCAGTCTTACGACAGGTATATAAAAAGACATTTTTTCCTTGAAATCCTGTGGTTTCTGTCTTAGTTATTTAATCAGTAAACCGGAAAATATCCTAAATAGTACTCTATATCTTATCAAAAACTTTTGCAATAAAATGGGTGCTTATTTTGTTCAGGAAAAAAAAATAATCTTGAATCAATCAAATCTGAATATTACCATGATTACTAGGAAAATAAATATGACCAAAGAATGGTTTCCTGTTTATAAACCATGTAAATGATCAAGCACCACTTTAGATAACTGAAGCCCCTCTAAGGCTTAAGCAATTATTTTGACAAATAGACTTGAAAGATGATTCATATAAAAATTGTAACACTTTCCAATATATACACTCTTTACTGTGACAGAAGCTTTAGCTGATAAAAATTTAAGAAACAAATACCGACCTGTAAAGCCTTCACTCATTGGCTTGTTAGGGAAAGGTGCCGGTTTGGCAATAGCAGCTTTGCCAATAGTAGGAAGGTTCTTCAGATCAGGAATTTTGTCATGGTAAATGAAATCGTTGTCCTTCTTGGCTGCCTGCAGCTCCCTCTGGACACGGCCCTGTTCTGTTTTGAAGGCAAAGGCTGCACCTCCCCTGCTCTGGGCAGCTGTCAGAAGCTCATTGGCTTTCTAAAATGTACAAACAAAATTCTACAATAAAATTGTCACCACATTAAGAAATCACAAATCAAATTCTTTTTAAATGATTATTTACCAAACGTTCAACTTACACAAGAAGGTCAAATCATAGGTAAAACACAGGTAAACAAAGATTACCTTCAGGGATATAAGCTACAGGTACAGTATATGTATAAGGGGGCAATGTTGCAGACTTAGTGAATATTCATTCATTAATTTCATCATTAAAGATTAATGTTCATTGTTGCACATAAAAAAACCCCATCCAAATTAAGACTAGAACATTTAAGCGAGACCCTTATTTACTATAAAGCATCTTTAGGTGCCTCAAATGCATTCAGTTATGATTCAGTTATGCCTGATAGTTCCTTGAGAATGGATATGGATATACTTAAAAATATTAACTTAGGACCCTGAAATCAAAGCAAATGCACAAAATGTACATGTATACAATCTTCTACAGCGATACAATTTGCATATTGTGTTATACTGGTGCATCGTTACACCCTTATTTGTTAACATTAATAAATGAAAAACTGAATTATATCATTTTCAAATGGTCAAGGATAGAAAATTTGACTGTGTGGATAGAATCTGTGAGAATGACAACATAGAGACTTCATTTCTGATAGCAATGTACCTCAAAAATCATAATTTATATAATTCACTTTTTTTGTTGACCTACATGTACATTACACATTTTGCTTCCATACCTACACATAACTGTCAAAATGACTTCAAATTTTCTAAGAGCTAAGATAGGGCAAAATACTTCACTATGACAAAATCATTTATCATGTGTGAACATTCTAACACAATCAGCTGCTAAAATGCTGGTAGTTGAAGTACCTGTAAGCGGGCGATTTGTTCACCATAAGACTTGCTCTGTTGTGCCACACAGCTTTGGTAGAACTCAGCCATCCCATGAAAGCCAGCTTGTTTGCAAGCCACCAATGGAACCCAATCCTGTGTATTTATATACCGATATGTATTGAGCTTACAGAACATTTACAATTAAATGTCTGTTTTAATATAATTTTTTCGATAACTTTGTCAAGATTTGAAAAATTAAAAAAAATAATTTAAGTCAATATACATGTACATGTATACAATTTAAATGGATACAATGGGCAGAAAGTAATAAAGTGTTCTAAAATGCAAAAATTGTATGTTTTTCATGTTTATACCTCTCTAATACACAGAAATATACATGTAACATCTATCTAAATATTATATAAATAGTGCACGTTTTTGAGGGTAACAGTTGAAATTGACACCCCAAGGAAAACTATTGTCAACCGACGCGTCAGCGGAGGTTGACAATGGTTTTCCGAGGGGTGTCTATTTCAACTGTTACCCTCAAAAACGTGCACTATTTATTTTATTATACTGAATGTCTTATTGATTTCGGATGTCATAAAAAAATTCGGAGATCGTCGAAAGCTTTCAAACTCCCCGCTTCTATTTTTCTCAATAGGAAAGCTTCGTAAAAGATTTACCAACCTCTTTATTATTTGTTTGCTACTCAAAAAGTCCTTTATCACCTAAAGTTTGCACTCGCAAGGATGTTTCGTCTGTCGTTTGTCTTTTTCAAGTAAGCTACATCAGACGCAAGCTTTTATTGACGTCGTTTATTCGGCTTCTTTCAAACCCACAACCGACGTTTTGAGAATTCTACGGTGAACCGTACGCGCATGATTTGAACGCATGTGATATTTTTGTAATGTTACCCGTTGTCAAGTGTGTTGCTAACGCTGAGGGTAATATTACGGATTGTTAAATGAGTCTAAACCAATCAGATTTTAGTATTTAACATGAAAGTATAATAAACTCTTTTATTATGATAATAACCTTTGGCCAGAGTTCTTTGAGGGAGGCAAGCTGCATCAGCTTCATGGCATCACTGTAGAGATCTGAACACTGGTAAGCTATTTTAGCTACCATGGCCTCCTTCATCCTGTCTGTAAGGGATGAAAAGTTCAAATGATAACAAGTTCAAATTATTTGTTTAAATCTACATTATCCTCTCTGTGTGCAGGGTTGAAATGTATTTTCTTTTCAGCATGATCCAGTATATTATAACTTCAATTATAAATGTTTGAGCTTCAAGGACCTTGAAGTCACTTCAGTATCTTGCACAAAATTCTGTTATTAATTCAATATGCTCTCTCAACAGATGTAACCTTCTTGTCACATGCAAGTTTTTTTTATATATTAAAAGAATTTACATTTCCATCTTGACTAGTACATGTACTTACAACTCACATACTTGGAGAACAATAAAAATTTTAATTGTACAAATCTAAATTTCCTCCATTTTAGCTTATTACCTTTATAATTTTATTCATTTTTTTTTTTTTTTTTTTTTTTTTACAATGCTGTGTAATACTCAAATCAGTGTACCAGCAGCAGCTTTTCTGTAAATGGCCTCTTGAGCCTGAGCCACTATGAGTGCACTCAGGGCATTGAGTGTGTCAGGACTCAGGTCAGGGGTTGGTTCTTGTTGGACATGTGAAAGTACAATGTCTTTGAGATGTCCAAAAATTCCTGAAGCCATCTGTCATAATAACATTTGTAAATAAACACAAATTCTTATGTAACATAATTCTGTTGTTATGACAATTCTGACTTTTTTCTTTTATACAAACAGAATTAGGCTTAGACTTTCTCCTCTAAAAAAATTATTTGGGTATAATTTTCTAAAACTATGGTACATAAATTTCAATATGAAGATGCTGGATTTTGATGGATCACCTGGAAATATTTGGCGGAGGTTTTGAGTCCTTCATCGCTATCATGGTTCTGGACCTCAGCAATCTGACTCTGCAGTGCTGCAATGTTAAAAAGCATGCACACCTTCTCATAAGCACCAGACGCAATACCTGAAAAGATAAAACAACCATTGTACTGGCGTGCAGATAATCAAAACAGGAAGTATCAAGTATTGATTAAATATGATGATTATTACATAAAGTGATAACGAAAGTAAACAATGACATGTAATGCTGATCAGTTTCCATAATTGTCCTCATTCAGAAATACAATGTAGAATTTTTATTACAAACCCAAGATCTGTTTTCCACCAAATAAAGATTCCTTATCAAAGGCATTTCTCCATTTGAAATTCACTCGAATCTGGGAACAATCAAAATGTACAATAAATACAGTGAGTTTGTCATTTTAAAAAAATCTTAATTCTTATTAAGTATGTGTAATGAAGAACATTTTTATCAGAATTGTTTCAGATATAAAATTCAGCATAAATTTCATGTCAGCAGAATTACAGGTGGTGAATATATCATATGACTAATCAATAATGCATGCATAGAGCTTTATGCTGCAGATTTTTTTCTTTCCAAGCAAACTGACACAGCTGATTGTAAAATGAAAGACTTTTTGTGAAAAAAAAAAATTCTAATTTCCATGAATCTAATCAAATCATTGGATAAAATGGCTCTTCACTGATCTCATAATTCAGTTTATCAGTGTTAAATTCTTTGTTTAAAGCGACAGTACGGCTGCAAAATGTATGCTTTTTCATTCAAATTTACCAAATATGTCATTAAGAAATAAGGTATAAAGTTTATGTAAGCAGTTTGAGAAACAGAAATATTCTCTACTCAAACAAAATTAACGTAATTAGAATCTGCCGGAAAATCAAGGGTCGTACGAACTTGAGCAATCTTAGATCTGTTTATTTGTACCACGTGAATTCTAAAACGGCACGTGCCTACACTGTAGAGTTTACAATTATAATGAATATTAGGTAAAAGCAATTTTCAAAAACAAATTATCATAACTTTCTGATATAATAATCTAAAATAATAATCATGAAGATTTTAGTCTGCATTCAGGCGAATTTAACAGAATTAAAAGTACAAATGTTGACGTTTTGTGTATTGGGGTCCGAGAAAGGAAAAACCAACTAATCATACGTTATCGCGGCAAATGTCAAACAAAATATTTTTCTGCACAGTTAAAAAAAATTAGCATTTCAAATGGCAACAATGTTTATAAGTCAAAGGTGTATTTTTATGTTGAGTTTACACTATTTTTTTTTCTTTGAAAGCGATGGAAAAATGAGAAATGATAACAAGTATCAACAAACCTGTCGAATAGAACCTTCGAGAGCCCTGCGTGAGTGTCGCCGAGTTCCCGTTTCTTCCTTATCCAGCGATTATATTAATCCCCAAACTAAATTTTAGTCAGGAAAGTTGCTTTTTCAAGTTCTATTTTCAGTTTCTTTTTATTTTTGGTTGACTTTGTCAATGTAGCAGGCAGGGCTCCCACTGGAGCGAAAATATTTTTCGCCACTTTTCGCGATGAAAAGAATCGCATTCTTACATCTCATCGTGACAATTGTGTATGCTAAACACTCCACTAATAGCACTATTTCACTTTGTTTATATCACTGGCATTGTTTTAAAATAGTACTAAAATTTAAAACAATATCCACTTACAAACCTTATATAGGAATTATTTCTACAATTCTACATTTATACAATTAAATTGATACTGATATTAGCCAACTTTTGACAATAGATGTCCTCTTGTTCATAACATGTTTTTAGCCCTGGGAGGGGGGTTACATGCTTAGTAAAGATATATGACATTTTTTTAAAATGAAAAAATTGATAAAATAAGTGAAAAGTTTAATTATATCAACAATTCTTGGCTTAATTAATTTAACCTGTTAACAACTTCAACACTGCATGGGTGTATGCATGTAAATTTATATAATTGAAAATAATAGATATTCAGCGTAATTGACAAAAGTATTGTTTTGTTTCCAAGCCAGTATCTCTTTCACTCTTTGTCAGTTTATGGTATAATGAACACACTATTTTGACTTTAATCAGGTAAAATTAGCAGCCATGCTCTGCAGTTTTCGTCATGTTTTCCTACTTTCGGTTTTAAAAAACAATCTATATAGATCCAGATTTTATTGATTAAAATCTTTTATTAACTAACTTCATCTCCCCAAAACACTTTGTCTTTCCTTGTTTAATCCATCTTATATTATTTCAAGTAATTTAATTTGTATCCCCTTACTGCTCCAGGCTAAAGTTACCTAGTCATCTGTGTGCGTTCAAGCGAGACGTGATTTCCTACATGTACATTGTTTTGTAAGTTTCATGGAGTTTTCACACCCTGAATTCACACGTCTGCTTGCATTAAATAAACAAAGGGGCTAGTCTGTATACATTGAATAAACAAAGGAGATAGCCAGGAGTACACACACTTTTGTATGGTATATCCCCCCCCCCCCAAAAAAAATCATTTTCGCCACTTTTGAATTTCTTTTCGCCACTTTTGGAAAAAATTCGCAATTGGCGCAAATGGCGAATCACAGCTCGAGCCCTGGTAGCAGGCCTACCGGGATTCCCTCTCTAACCATGCTGTTTTGTTTATGAAAACTACGCAGGCGTGCATAGCATGGAATGTGGAACCCCGAACACGTTGCTATGTATATATTTACATCCCATAAATAACTATTAATTTTAATGAAATAATCCAAATTATTTAATTGTAAAAGTTGTAATTTTCTGAAAGTTTATACTTTTATGAGTTGTAAAAAAAATACCAAATCTTGTCGGAAAATTTTATGTAGTCAGTTTTTTGATGAGGTGCGCCGTACTGTCACTTTAAATTTCTTTGAAATCATTACCTGATTTTCTGCTATGGGTAGCTTGTTCTCTATTGCACACAGTTGGTCATAATACCTGTTTCAAATAAACCAAAAATTTAGTCTTGAAATAAGTAAAACTGAATCAACTAATTATCATATATTTTGATGATTAAGACATTTGTCTAATATTTTTTTTTTTTGCCAGCTTTTATTAATCTGCACTTCATGGAATCTATTTTGTGAAAGTTGGCATTATTGATACACTGAATCAGAGGGCGGTACTTTTACAAAAATAGGAGCTACCTTGTGGAAGGGATTCTAATTAATAAATATGTTTTATTATGTATCAAATTTTTCTCTAATGAATATTTTGGCCAGTACAATCATGATTTCAACCGGGTAAAAGTGCCGGGTACCGGCATATTTTGAAAGGCGTGCTGAATTTCTACATTTTTATATATATAGTTATATATTCTGTAAGAAGTCCAACTTAGTAAATCTAATTTAACTAAGCTAAGGAATAGTGCTTTGTATAAATTGAAGTTATGGTAATGTTTTTTTTGTATCCTTTGCTATATTAATCACAGTTCATCACTTTTTTCTATCACACAAAGTTGATTTTGTTTATTCTTCCTTCCTTTTTCTAAAATAAAGAATGTCTTAAGACAGTTAATGCACTGCATATATAATAAGAAAGGAGAAAAATGCGATGGACCAGACTGGGATTCCAACCCGGGCCTTGTCTGTTGCACTTCTCTCCATTTCCTGTTACATTTGGTGCCATGCCCTGGGAAGTGACAGGTAAAAGACCTGCCAGGGAAGAGCCTGGATTCATGTCTTTGGGTGCAAAGACCTTTAAGGAGGGAGGAATGTGGCAGTCAGATGGGTTCGATCACCATTGGCCAGATAGCTCAGTTGGTAGTGCACCTGACCCGAGATTCAGGGGGGCCCAGGTTTAAATCCTGGTCTGGTTTGTCACATTTTTCTCCTCTCTACTTACAGATAATATTGCAATAGGGAAACCAAAGAAAAAATTTAAGTGCTCTGAAGCAGCTGAGCTATTTCAACAATGGTGGCTAATAATTCTCCTGTTAATTTAATGAACATAAAAGCAAAAGGCTGCATGTTGGAACAAATGTCTGATGATTGCTCCAATGGCCATGACATTTTGGTCTATTAAAAACTTCATATTCATATGTAGTTCATATTTAATTTCAAACAATTTATCAGATGATAAAAAAATAGGTTCATCCAAAGACATAATTTACATGTATGCCGAGCATCCATCTATAATATACAGAACTACATTATGAAAAGAAAATTTTGACAGAAATGATGAATGAACAACCATTACTGAGTCCCATATTTTTACAGGTCTTTCTTCACCCATCATTTCACTTATAATGTTATTTTGTAGATAATGTAGACCTGGGTTACAAAGCACCATCCTCAGGGACATGTGACTCATTAATTGCGAAACAGTAAAAATATCATTTATACACTGTGTATATAGACATCTCTATAGCTATATACTATACTGTGAAAACGATGCATAATAAATTTTCAATTAACATAACAATATACATCTTTTATTTCTTAAATACAATACCCTGTTCTTGTTTTACTTATATCATGATAAAAAAAAATTACGAGAAAGACACACAAACCGGTACAGGACTTCTAATGCTGATTCATGTTTGTCAACAGATTTGGCGATCATTAAATTCCTCAATTTGCTGAACTCATTGATTGCATGATTATAATCGTCTGGTTCCACCTGTGTAAAGGTATTTTGGATGAAACTTCTCAATGGTTTTGTCAGTTCAACTTCCTGAGTTTGTTTCAGAGGAACTGCAAGGAACGTCGCCATCTTGGTAAATAATGTTTGGTCACATGGTTCCGCATTTAAAAATAGCTATTTCTGTGACGTCAAAAACTGAGTCAGGTTCTCCCGGGTTTTACTCATCAGGTGGCGGATCAAATAATATTTTGATGTCATATACATATACATGGTTTTTTTTCCCTAAGTAATAAAAAAATGTGCTTCGTTCATTTACCCGTCATTTATTTATTTATTTTTATCACAAAGAATGAAGGGGGATAAGGTTATATATCTTTGTTCAAAAAATAAATTCTATTTAGTGTTTAAAATTCATGTGAGACTTTGGGCCAAGAAAAAATAAAGCAAACCCAATAATTTATAAAACAGTATTTATTATGTCAACATATTTGACTTTTTAGAATTTTAGGGTTAAAAAGGGTGTGTCTGCTGTCCAATCCCATTCACTTTTGTGAATAAAGTATTTAAAATTGTTTAAAGTAAATTTGGAAGTGCGTATACTTATTGTATTCATATAAGCGTAAGCAGTGTTAAACATGGATTACAATATATTGAGAGCCACGAATGTAATGTCTGTCGATTTTTTTATTTTTTCAAATTTATGAGATCAGAAATATCAATTGGATCAACTACTACCCCCCTTCCCTAAAAAAAGATTAACTGTACATCTTTCAGCTACACTCCTGATTTTTACTTTTACCTTGACAACGTGTCCTTGAATCAAGCTCATGTATGCCATTACATAATGTGACATAACAAAAAGGCCTTGATTTTACTCCGGTGTACTCCGTTTTAGAAAAGGAAGCGGATTCGGAACATCTAATTTTGATGAAATTGATTCATTATCCTCAAAACTTGTGTAAATTTTGAACAACCTTTGAACCTCAAGTTGAAGATATGACCCCTAGTCAAGTAGACGAAAGGACGGACTGACAGAGACACAAGTTCTGTGAAAAAAAAATTGAAACCCAAACAAATTATATCTGGCCAAAACAGAATAAAGTAAATGGGATTTGGATTTGTTCAAACTTAAGGAAGCTCTAAACACTAACAACAAAAGAATGCTTTTTGGACTGGGAGAAAAATATATCTTATAAAGGTGTGCATATTGAGTCCATTTAGTATTCATTTTCAACATAAAGTACCTGCCTTATTTCTACAGGAAAAAATGTTCAAAGACAATGGACTATTCGTGAGCAGAAATCACTGTTGTTTACTTACATTGGAAAAATTAATGGAAATAATGAATTCAGTCACTGATTCTTGGTCTAATATAATGCTAAGAATATTTTAATCTATTACAAACTGTGTTATTAACTTTAAATAACCAATTTTTCTGTCTTACTTCTGAGGGCAGATCACTCTATAACTGCGTAAAACTATACCCTATAAGTAGAACTCTTTAGTGTGCAGTGTTTAGAGCTTGCTTAATGGGTACCTTTTCCCTATGTTTATGATTAGAAATTAGTGCGAATTTTTCATGGCATAAATCATGAAACATTTCAAAACCTGGAAGCTTACCTTTATACATAGTGTAAAGATCAGGTGAAAATGTTTAAAATGACCCGTTAAATTAGAAGAGAAGGTTTACCCTCCCTCCTTTGAAGAGAGAGAGAGAGAGAGCATTTCAACAACTAATTCATCTAAATTGCCCAAAACAAATGATTTTTCTCAGCTAATTATGAATATTGCTGTACATGTATATTAGAAGAAAATGCAGGTCTGGAAATCATAATATACTTTTGTAAATAGAATGGTTTATTGAACTTTCAGTTCAGGTTTGCCATTATAATAGCTGATTAATCTTTAAAAATCTTATTTTAGAATAACTACAAAGTATTTTCTTTTCCTTGTCGTATAAAATATTATTTGGATAGTTCTCGCACAGTATCAAAATCACAAAAAATCTATATCAAATAGTTTTGGATCCGGAGTTTTCTTCAAATTTTAAAACATAAAAAAAGAAATATTTCCGAGTATTGACCGCGAGTCACTATTATGTATTCTTTTCTAAATCTTTTTTTTTTTTTTTTTTTTTTTTTTTTCAAATTGATAAAACTACTTTGATATTTTTTGGCTCACTGATAATCCCCACTATGAAAATGAACTCGTCCGAAGTACAAGCTTGACCTTTAAACTAACAAAGGAATGCATTTATTCTTCGCCGACCAATCATGTTTCGCCATTTCTACGGCTTTCAGCTGTTCGATACGCGGAATATTTCATAGTTTTTCCCTGGAGTAACATACCGAAAGAAAGAAAAAATCGGGAAAAATCAAATGGAGGTTTGTCAAAGTAAGTAATGCAGGCATTCGATAGATATCACCCTAAAGAAAAATTGTACACATTGATCTTTTGTTTTTGATGTTGATTTCATGCAATAAAATGCGTGTGAGCGTTAGTTGTCAATGAACACGTTTAACAAACAAAGGGCAAATACTGATGCCATCCGAAAGAAACTCCATTCATTCATACGTTCACATGTACACAAAATATGTAATGCCATCTCTTTGTGTCTGAAATAAGATTTATTCTTGCCAAGATATTCGAAAAAGGCATGAAAAGGTAAGCTTAAATATTTTTACACGAATCACATTCTAATTTGATTTCAAATGAAATGTTCGGAGATCTTTGAGCAAGGTGATCTTATTGTATAAAACAAAGTACATTTTAGGTAACACGTGCCATATAGCTGTGAAATATAGAATAAAAGGATCTTTTTTTTAAAGTAATTAATATATATTTAAAAGTTTCTTTCAGCTCGTATATCTATAATTTTCGTAGACGATGTTGATTTATTTTTTATTTTAATACATAATTTAAAAATCTTGTTCATATCGTGACTTGTATGTAAAGACATTTATTTTGGTAATAATTTTTTAATAACTGACAGTTAAGCTGGTTTAGAATAATTTTCATTTACAGAAGAATATGACACTGGCATATATTAGCTGTTATTTTATTCCTGAGTGCTTTCAAAATCTAAATATTTGTATTTCTGAATCTTATGAATATGCAGCAAATAAATTGTTAAATATTAAAAAAAAAAATAACATTTAAAATTTTACTATTGAAAAAAGTAAAACTGAAAAAATATTTATAGCATATACTTTTCATGTCAAATGGTTTGAAAATTGCGTAACATTTGCAAGCTTAATAATGCAAATTATTTTTGGTTGATTATCGTCGTGACTTCCATTTGAACTTGATGTGTTCTACTTGAAAAAAATATTGGCTAATTAAGAAATTTCTTTATATAAAGGTCTAAGAAATTAGATTTGGTTGACATGATCATAAACAGATATGTCATTACGTAATTTGATTTGAATAATGATATATATAACATTAATTTACTTTTTTTTTTTGGTGTGTACAAATAAATATGAACATTAAACAAAAAAAAATTATTCATGAATAAAATGACAGAGATAAATTTATTAGATTCACTGATCTGTTTTCAAATTTTCAAATTTTAAATTGAATCAAACTTACATTTGTACGAAAAGTACAAGTAAGTAACATCACATTAATTGCCTGAATGTTTTATGTAAACTGTGACGTAATGTGTATTGCAGAATGTTTTGAATCAATTTCACATGGCGCATTATCTGGAGAAATGTATGCCAGAAATGTACAGGCTAGAAAATGTGTGTGCTAGCCAAAAAGGCAGTGTAGGAGTTGACCTGAATCAGAGTTGTGGGAGGGGGAGTAAGGAATCCCCCACTTTAGTTGAATCATATACCGAGGTCTGTAAAGACACTTGTTTTCTTTTCACCTGGGTTTGATTTTCTCTCCCCACTCAAATTTTTTTGGTATTACAAATTTGAATTCACAATAAAAAAAAAAAAAAAACTTTTGATCACATTGATTTACTTAGTTGTAGTTACTTCAGTTTTCGTCGTTATTTCATGGCAACACGGTCTTCAAAATTTTTGTTTACCATAACCACTTCTAAATAATTTGCATAATTATGCATCAAAAGGGCAGAGTATTGTATTCATTCATTGACAAGCATAATGCATGCAGAGGTACCAATATGACATGTATATTTACGTAACTTCATGTTATATGAAAAGAAATATTTGCTACACGCTGTCGAATTATTTATGGTGACATCATGAAGATGTAGTTTCTGAAATTAGTTGAAGGATAATGGTGCAGAAATATTTTCATAATTTGGAAAAACTTCATAATTACATGTATTTAAAATCAGAAATCATTGTCTTATCTTTTGAAATTAATTAATCTACAATGTACTTTAAAGCCTAGAATTTGAGCTGTACAAAGGAATTCTTGTATATATTATATATAATTAATTTTATGTAACTTTATCAATTAATCTAAAACTTTTCCTCACAACAGATATTTATGAGCCAAAATTAATTAAAGTAGTAATCAGTGAGTTAAAAACTTTTACAAGGTTCAAGTCCTGTTCGGTATGCAAGACATTCCTCTTGGCCCTCAGATTTTTTTTTAGACATAATTTTTATGAACAGATGATAATACATCTGCTAACATTACATAATAATTATCTCTTTTTTTCCTTTAAACAGATTTGACACCATGTGAAGCAAACATGTTCAATCAGCCCACAACAAGTGGTAGAATTCCGTTATGAGCTGGATCAAATCATGACATCACACAAAGAAAAGTACGACCACAACTACGAGGAAATTGACGAAATTGGCAATGGAGCGTACGGCACGGTTTTCAAGGCCAAGGACACCCGTAACGAGGGAGGCTGGGTGGCCATCAAGCGCATTAAGATCCAGAACACAGAGGAAGGCATGCCCATGAGTGCCATTCGAGAAATTGCTCTTCTCAAACAGTTAGAAAATTATGAACACCCCAATATTGTCAGGTATATACTATATCTATTATACCAGTAAGTCTTAACTTTAGAATATAAAATGGTAATTGCCAAATAACTAAAAGTGGAGCCACGGTTTACCTTCACCACCCACCTAATTTTACAACCCAACTACCCCAATTCCCACCCAAACAAAAACACAGAAGTTCCCACCCACGCACAAGACACAGAAATGATTGCAAATATTTATCAATCTTATTGAGCATTACCAGTACATGGTAAATGAAAATGTTGAATGTTTACCGATTTTGCATTCACTTTCATCTATTATATTTAAAAGGATTTTGTTTTCTGTATGCAAACAAGTTCATCTTTTTGTTTTATCTTCAAATATCCCTGATGATGGTTAGATTGGTATACAGTTAAACTTGTCTTATCCAGATGCTGTGTATTCTGAAATCTTGCCTATTACGGTCAAAATATGAAACTCAGTTGTTTTAAAAATGTTGTCTTGTTGAACCAGTAGTGTCTGGATTAGACAAGATTTACTGTAACTTTATCTTGGCCCAAACAAATCTAATGTTATTGTTGCATTGATTTTGTTGAACACATTTAACCTAGATTTTTAAAGAAAGTTATATTAGTACGGATAAACAAAGCACACTGTTATATACATGTATATATATATAACTGTACCACAAAAGGATGTGTCATCGTACGTCCTGGCCTTCATCCCAATGATTTGCTCAATTATGCTATTTATCAGGTAGCACATTACATCACATAATGATACACTGTAGAATATGTTGTTTTCACCTAAATTTTTTCTATTTTAGTGCATATTATATCAAATTATATATACTTTGCTTGTCCTGCATCTCTGTTAGTACAAAAGAACTCCCTGAATATTCTTGTCTGTCTGTTAATAGAGAAACATATATAAAGATTGGACTATAGGTGAAAGTTATGTAATATCTGAACTTCAGTCCACAGAAGGGGAGGATATGGGGGTCTTCTTATTGTAATTACGGAGTGCTGTAAGTATATACATATACGTATTATAGTCACAGGATAAGTGGTGAGCAAAGTGATACAATTACGAGTGTCAATAAGTCGCTAAGCGTGTTACAGATAGATAAGGAAGCTGCCATCATCTGTTTGGAATTCTGCTGAAACTAAAGTTTTTAGTGACATATTATAGGTGTCTTAGCTAATGGGAACTTAGGCTCTAGTTGGAAAAAGAGTTCATTGGTTGAAATTTATTGAACATGAGGGGGATTCCTAAAAGAAGCATTTACAAGAAAATGAATGTAACTCTTACAGATTTCCCAACATATATATTATACCTTTGTACAAAAAAATTCCCAAACGAATCCATAAAAAATTTCAGGAGTATTATAACATATTGTATGTTCCATTACATCTAGCAGTGCATGGATGGACAAGATCTTTCTTTGATGAAATAAGTCACCATTTTGAATCTCTTCCAAAATAAAATCACTTGATGATCAACAATCTTTAAAGAGTACTTGATAGTTTGTAAAATCACGTATGTGTATAATGAATTTCCTCCTCTCTTACTTGACCTGTTTGTGTACTAAGTAACAAATCATTTTCTTGTCATCTCTCAAAAATCTTTTTGATCAAAGAGGCGGTAGTGCGTCAGAACTTGGGGGAGAAAAAAAAAACTTGACATTTCTTCATCAATTAGTCTATAATTAGCACTTATATGTATATGAAACTTAGCAAATATCTAAATTAAAACAAAGAACCATAACCTTATCTATTGCAACACTTGCATCTTTTTTTTTTTTATTTTGTTTCAAATATTTTTTTGTTGCAGAATCTTGAAACAAAAAAAGGGCGTGTAACTCTTCTGTATCGGAAGGCTTTAATATCATGACAAGCTTGTGCTTTTAAGGGCACTGCTTTTGCTGTCAAAATATCAAATATATACATAACACATGTATGTAGCGGTAAATATGTAATTCTAACTGTAGGTCACTTGCCACGTACTGCAGACATTTTTGGTTTCAGTCTTTCAATCCATGTACTGGACAGGTTTAAATACGCAGTTATTTAACTCCTTTCACGGTTTGAAATTGATAAAGTGTCTTGTATATATTTACATGTAGTACATAATTGCGTATATGAAAATGGCTTAAGCACATGACTGGAAAGAAAAAAAATGAATATCACAAGAATTGAGAATTGGATTTTCAAATTGTAGGTGTATTTTCAATTAAAATTTTTAAATGTGCTGGCATAATACCTACGCACAAACCAAATCATACAAGAATGTGTTTTACAAAACAGGGCTATCAAAGTAATGCTTAAACAGAACCCTGTTCAATATATGCTGGTAGACATTTAAAAACCTGATCGATTGTGAGCTATTCAGAGCCACGATAATCTATGCAACAAGTATGTGAGATATGCCAAGCTTTACCTATATAAGTAGGGTAGATCTGTTGACATTAATGCCTAGATATACAGTTATGTTCATGCACTGTGACTGTTTAAAGGCTCTAGCTTGTGCACAGTCCCTTTATAGTACTCAAAACAGTATTGAACAATTTACTAATACTGGGGGATATATCATGTATATACCAATTTATATTGTGTGGACAATTGTTTTCAAAAACAAATTAATTTATAATTCCATTTTTTTAATTATTTATATACAGTGACTGGGTTAAATACACAAAGTAAAGTTCCCAGGGGGTAGCTTTGATGTATGATATGGTATTGAGTTTCTTGAACTAATATTTTTTTCTTTAGAAAATATGTCCCATTAAAGTGGACACAATTTCCTGTTCTGTATGGAAATGTATACAGAAAAGGGTTGTGCCTAATTAATGAGAGTTTGAAATGCCATGCAAATAAAAAAAATACAATGCTGATTCTGCAAAAAAAAAAGAAAAAAAAGAAGAAAAGAACATACTCTCATTCATACATTACAGAAATGTCATGATCATTAAGTAGTAATTATGCTAATTATGCATACATATTTTAATACATGTGTAAGAATTCACAAATTCTCGATACTACCGGTACAGTTCTATTACACTGCACTGATTGACTGTCCCTGAGATAGGTATGTAGGTGTATATCCTTCAATGTCACCTTATTCTTTAGTGGTCGTATATAAATGTCAATGGTTACCAGTAATGTCTACTTTAGCGATCTGGCCATATGTCTCTATAGATTACACTTGCCGTACACTTAGTTATATTTAAGGGCAGAATATGAATTCTGTACTAGGGTATTTTTTTTGCAGAAATGCTAAAAAATGAAATGAGAGAGATATAATAGGATATGCTTAAATGTTACTAAATTTCACACCAGCAACAACATATATTCATTTGTCTTCAGAATTAAAAAAAATTACTGTACAGTATTTATCTGTCCAGATCTCTTTCTATTTCACCAGATGAATTTACAAAGATGTGACTTTTATGGATAAATTAAGTCTAATAAAATGGTTCTGATAAATGTAAATCTTGACTTAAGTGTATTTTCTGTTTTTTTTTTTTTCAATGGCTGTGCATGCAATCATGAAGTCATTATTTATAACCTTTTTTTCATGTTTTGTGAATAATTTGATGATAATCCAAACATATTTCTGATTGTAGGCTGTTAGATGTGCGTCATGCTCAGCAAAGTCCCACTGAAATCCAGCTGATGTTAGTGTTTGAATACATTGACCAAGACCTGTCCACATATCTCCAGAGATGTCCAAGTCCAGGGTTGGGGCCGGAGAGGATAAGGGTAGGTGGTTCAGAGAGGCCAATAGTTGTGTGAAAAGGAATAATGATAAGATAAATACAAGAGCTATTGAGATTTGCACTCATGAAAAAAATGCTTCCTTTATAGTGTACTTTATTCTCCGTCCATGAAGCCTACAAATTTATTTCGTATTCACTTTAAAAACCCAATGGCCCCCTTCCAAGATCTTGTTTTTTTATGCCTTGCCATGAATATGACTGGGGTATATAGTGTTTGTTATGTCCTTCTTCTGTTCTTCCGACTGTTCATAACACAGTAAGTTCAACTAAGTTTCAAAGAAAATATTCAAGATATAATAACCAAATTTCATATACTGATACATAATGGTGAGAACTATATTCATCTATGGAATAATTTTCTCACCTTCACCTTCCTTGTGACCTTGACCTCACTATTCTCTATTTTGTGTTGAGCTTAGTTTCAAAGTAACTATTTAAGATATTTTTATCAATACTGATCCCTCTCTGTGTGAAAACAAATCAAATGTGTCATAATTTTGTGATCTTGACATTACTAAGACCTTGACCCCACTATTCCTATTTTGCATTTATATAACTTATGTTCAAAGTAATTATTCAAGTTATGTATCAAAACTCATACAGCAATACATATTGGTAGGAACTTTTAAACTGTGTCATACTTTTCTGACTGCGACCTTCCCTGTGACCTTGATCTCACTTTTTCTTATTTTTTCTTTAGCTCATTTTCAAAGGAATTATTCAAGACTAATATGAGTTGGAACTATTCAACTGTGTCAAAATTTTTTGACCTTGACCTTCCCTATGACTTTGACCCCACCATTCCTCATTTTGCATGTATCCCAGTTTCAATAAAAGCATTCAAAATATTTTCAGTAAACTTCATACAAAAATACAAATTGATAAGAGCTAAAACATAATTTTCTGATCATGACCTTTTCTATGACCTTTACCCCACTATTCCTTATTTTGTATTTACCTTAATTTCAAAGAAATTTGATCAAGGTAATTTTCATCACACTTCATACAAAAATACTAATTGATAAGAGATATTCAACTTTGTGAAATTTTTTCAATTTCCCTATGATAATCACCTTATAATACATGTATTTTGTGTTTAGCAACTTAAGAAGAGACTGTTCAAAAAAAAAAAAAAATTTATCAATCTTCATACACTTATACTGGTGAGATCTATTCAATTGTGTAAAATTTTCTGACCTTGACCATCCCTATGACCTTATCTTAAGATATTTCAATAAAACTTTACTCAAAGTTGCATATTGGTTAGAGCAAGTAAATTCTGTCATTCTTTTCTGACTTAGACCTTCCTTATGACTTTGACCTTCCAATGACCTTAAACTTCACTTTTGAATTTTTTTTTAAAATCAAAACTTCATATACTTTAGATACATATTAGTGAGAACAATTCAACTGTGTCATTATTTTCTTACCTTGGCCTTTTCAATGACCTTGACCTCACTATTCCTTCATTTTGCAGTTACCCAAGTTTCTAAAAAGTGTTCAAGATATTTTCATCAAAGTTTGTATACTGATACAAATTGGAGAGAACAATTAAAGTGTGTCTTTTTTTTTTTACCTTGGCCTTCCCTTTGACATTGAATTTCACTTTTCCCCCTCAATTTGCTTTTGGTTCATTCTTACTTAATTCCATAAAGGATTACTTAAAAAAAACTAATATGTATATTGATAAATCTCAGTGAGAACATTTTAACCATACATATTTCAAGGATCATAAATAAATTTGCTAAATATGAGAAAATGAACTGTGAAGCAAGGAGACTTCATTTATATGTAGCTGATGTTATAGATATCAGATGAGATGAATTAATCTTAGACCAAAGAAAGAAGGTTAATTTCTTAGTATCATGTCAAAAATGTTCCCTGAGCTGGCCATTCATGTCCTATATTGGACCTATTTGTTACTTTTTGCAAAAATAAATTAACACCAATTTACTGGAATTCAAAATTTAAGATTTTGTTCACTCTAAATGAACAAACCTTTATGGAGTAGCCAAAGAAATCAATGATCAATCTTGCAAATATTATGTATACTTCAAATCTATTATATCATGTAGCATTAAAAATCTAATTCTGCTTAAAATAAATTAACAAAAAGATCAAAGGAATAAGCACATTGAAGTGCAGTCATTGACATGCAGTATTTTAATTTCATTCATAAAACTTTGCTATAAATGGCACAGAAATGGAAAAACCCACATAGGATAATATAAACGAATTCCATTCATTCCAATCCTAATGCTTTCTATCCATTAATCAGCCCATCCTAAGTGTGATTTTTCTCAGTATATTTTACATATATTGTTATTATTGTGTGGTGAGAACATATCCCTAGGATATGCGTTAACCTTTAAACTAGAGAGCTACCACAGGTGATGTGTTCAAGGCTGCATAAATGCTGAATTTTTCATTTGAGCAAATCAAATTTGCTCAAGAATAAAAAACATGAATGAAAACTTGTAAGGGAAACTTGTAATTTAAGATTTAAAAACCCTCCATCATGTCCATTCATGTAGGCTGCAGTATCTATCTGAGAGTTTTCTTCAGTGAAGGAATTTGATCTAATACCTTTATTCCCGTCAAACCTCATCTGCAAAGCAAACTGTTTAATTTCAATTGACAATGACTTGGAAAAGAGGATATGATATGACCTGTATTCTTTTTTCCAAAAAAAATGTACAAGAGATTAAATGAAGAAGTATTGTTTTCACATGTTTAAAAATACATGCGTAATAAATAAAAATGCTTGCATGCCCATCCATTTACCTGTGTGTCTGTGATATGTTTTGCAGATGAAATCTGTATGAATTAGAGCAAAAGTGACATTTTTATATAACTGTGAAAAGTTGTTATTTCTTCAGATCTTTATATTTTTCTTTTCTTTTAAAAATTGTGATTTACAATTAAGAAGCTATCCTGAATACTGTTATATATTCTTCTTAAGGGCTGACCTTTAAAAAATTTTTAGTGCTGTTTCTCTAACAATATGAATTCATGCAGGTAGTAAAATTCCTTGTGCAATATAATTAAATAATCATTGCATTTATTGTAGGATCTGATGTTACAGCTGTTAAATGGAGTGGATTTCCTTCACGCTCATCGAATTGTACATCGAGACTTAAAACCACAGAATATCCTCGTAACCAGTCAAGGACAGCTCAAACTCGCCGACTTCGGGCTCGCCAGAGTCTATGCATTTCAGATGGCCTTAACATCTGTTGTTAGTTTTCAGTTTCGTTGATGAAAAAAAAAGTCCTTAATATTTATTTATGAATGTTTTCTAGAGAAAAATTACACCGTATTGAGTAGTAATATAATTTAAAAATATTTTTAAAATTTAAACATGAGCATGAAATAATTATGATCTGAATATGAAATTAAAGCTATAAGTAAACTGTTGTGAACTAGTCGTATTTTACCATATTGTCCTTCATATCCACAGGTGGTTACTTTGTGGTACCGCGCCCCAGAGGTTATTTTACAGGACACCTATGCCACGCCTGTAGATATGTGGAGTTGTGGGTGTATATTTGCGGAGCTCTTCAACAGGAGGTGAATTAATTGTTATTTAGATGTTTTAAGATTTCTTAGACTAAGTATCCCTCATTTTAATTCATGACTGTTTTTGTTCCCAAAATTGTAAATTAGAATCCATTTAAGCCTAGATGAAGGCCCTAAACATGATCAAAATCTAATGTCTGTCTGTCCTAATGGGACTTGCATCCTCTTAGGGGTACACTCAGGGATGCATGTACATAAGAGATGCTGCATGATTGAATTCTTTCACCATATCTTTAAAACTGGCATTTTCTGTTTGTAAATCTAAATTATGCCCAATCTATTAAGCATTTAGCACATTCCTATTATTTTTACAAACATGACCTGGACATGAATTTTCTACTGTTTTGTTTAACTTGGGTATTGACCAGTTGATCGTCTATCTAGTCATAAAACGTCCTTTGGCTAGACGTAAAATACTGAGTTAGAATCTTTTATGATCCCAAATTATGATCTTGGCATAAATTTTGAACCCTTATAAATTGTTTTGGTCCAGAACCATAACACACTTTAGTCCTATATGGCAAATTTTTGCATAATATCTTCCACTACTAAATGCAGACAGGTAGATAGAATTGATTTCTAGGAACAAGGATGTAACAGAGCTTTAGGATTATAAAAGATTCACATAAGTAAAATAATATGTCCGAACACTAGTTTTTATATTTTTTAGAGAAATCATTTTTTGGCAATTTAAAAGTAAAGGGAACAGAAAGAAGAAAATGTATGACTGGTCCAGGATTTGAACCCAAGACCCTGCATCACTGGTCAGGCTCTCTACGACTGAGCTATCCAGGCTGATATCCATGGCCCAAACCATTACATCCCTCCCTCCTTAAATTGTCTCTGCCCTCGAAGACACAACCCAAGTTCTTATTTGCCCCTAGCATTATTTTTACATTTTATAGAGAAATGATTTTTTGGTTGTACATGGAATTTATTTCACCAGTGGGACATGATTTTTTTTTTTTTGAAAATATGTTTAAGTGAAAATGAAAAAAAAATCCTGTCTCACGAGTGAAATTAATTCATTATCCATTGATTTTTTCCATTTATTACACTTTTATTTGTTTTTTTTCTTTTGCCCCATATCACTAATTAGCTGTCTTTTCCGTATACAGTGGTTTAAGCTGAGCAATTATGAGACTGAGAATTGTAAACATAGATTTTTAACTGCACAAATTTGGACAAACTCTGTCAGTTTCATCTGCTTTAATTAGCATCAAAATTGTGTATTCATACACTATCATTATATATTTATAAAGAGTATTATTTTCACACTGTAATAAAAACTTTTATTATTTTCTCAGTGAAAATACTGTAAGCATATATAAATTAGTGCACTCAATATTTTGTTGGGATCTTCCTCATCAACCGATTTGCATAATCATAAATTAGTACATTTGAAGCCAAGCCTCTTTATGTACAGTCAAACCTCGTTATCTCAAACTTAGTGGGACCAACAAAAAAACTTCGAGATATCTGAGGATTTAAGATATTGAGGGTAAAATACTAAAAGAGTTAGTGGTCTGGACTTCCAAAACACTTTGACATATCCATGGTATTCGAGATATCAGTGTTCGAGATACTGAAGTTCAACTGTATTTGTTTTAATAACATATTGGAGTGTACTTGAATTAGGGTACATGTACAAGAAGCAGCCAAAAGACACTAAAATATGAACACCACTAAATTAAGTATAATAATGGCAACAAGTCGGCAAAAATATGAGTTTTATGCAATGGATAAATTAATGTACACTGTTAAAAATATTTTAAAAAATCATCGTTAACTTTAATTCCTTTACATATTTTCATCTTTGGCACTATTTGTTTAAAATTTTGTCTTGCTTGCATTTGATTTTTTTTTAACTCCATCTTGTCATAAGTGTGTAATTCTATAAAAATTCCATTATAGTTAACAAGGGCTGTGAGGTTCATTCTCTTTAAACAAAATGAAATCTATAACAAAACTCTGTGACCACCAAAGCTATTTTGTTATTGAACATTGCTTTTGAAAGATTGGAAAACAGCCATTTTTTTTTCCTGATAAAAAAATATAGTTTTCTTTGCAGGCCTCTGTTTTGTGGACAATCAGATATTGACCAACTAACTAAGATATTTGAGTAAGTACTTTTATGATAGTGGAGAAAAATCCATAATTCAATAATTATAATTGTTGCCCTCCCCTCAGCCCACCCATTTTTTAAATTTGATGATATCTAAATTCATATGTGTAAAAGGTAACCTGAAAGTAATGGAATACATTTTAAATATTTTGATATAACCTGAAAATAGGCAGCGTTTTGATATGACCTTGTGACTTGTCTTTTTCAGTGCTTTGGGTCTTCCTAATGAAAGAGACTGGCCAGAAAATGTTACACTGCCGTACAATTCATTTAAATCTAAAGCTCCACAGCCCATTAGTCACCTCATACCAGAGATAGATTCAGATGCCAGGGACCTCCTAGAGGTACGTAGACATACTGTAGACATACCAGAGATAGATTCAGATGCCAGGAATCTCCTAGAGGTACGTAGACATACTGTAGATATACCAGAGATAGATTCAGATGCCAGGAATCTCCTAGAGGTATGTAGACATACTGTAGACATACCAGAGATAGATTCAGATGCCAGGGATCTGGAAATACTGAAAGGACCGGCTAATTCATGTGTATAGGGAATACTGTCCTCCCCGCCCCTCCCCAAATCAGCCCTGTGTAGTTAAGCACTACATTTATATAAGGGTAAATGTATTGCATTGTATTCACTATACTCTTTCTGTCAGTCATCATACACTCTCTTTAGCAGCATAATATTGTTGACTTTGTTCTGCAGCATAGGAGAGGGGATCAGAAAGCGAGTAAGGTGATAATATATGATAAATGTGATACATGTTATTTTAAAATTCAATACTATAAAATGATATTATTTTAGGGATTAAATTTTAAATTTGTCTTGTAGAAACTGTTGATATTCAACCCACACAATCGCATCACTGCTCACGAATCCTTGCAGCATCCGTATTTCAAAGACGAACTGGATGGAATCCGAACATCTAGTTCTCTCTCCGAGAGCGAATCTCTGGACACTTCAGACTGCCGTTCCGACACGCCCGTCAGCAAGTGAAAACTAGTTCTCCACTAAACTAGTGTTCTATTCACCTAGACTCCAAGATATCTCTTCCCTTCACTGAACAAATGATTATTTACTAAGAATGGAAACTTGTTACATGTTTTACTATGATATCACAAAGTCCGAAATTATCACCTTTATAGTTCTTGAAATGAAATGTTATTTTTCAGTTTATGCATTCAATTTGTAATACAATGGTTTGTTAACAATTCCAATGGCAATACTGTGAAAGATCTGTGATATTGTTATACTTTATACCTAGTAATGAAAATGAAAGAAACATTCTTGGGTATTAAAATACATATTTTTACTGCTTTCACATATTTTTAAGTACATATTTTTTAAAAAGTTTTGATCTCTCAAAATTTTATTTGATATTTTGTCAGAAAAAAATATATTTTATACTGCAGACATTGTGTAGCAGTAACTGCATTATTTATATAATCCTGAAAAGTTTGATTATGCACAAATGCTCTATGTAGATGATGCAAAGTGCAGACTTTAGTAAGTGTAATAAAAATTCTAGTTTGGGAGAAAATGGCTCACATTCTTAGTTTTCTTTATATTCACAGTTTTAATTAACAAAGAAATGAATTTTAGAAACTGAGTAATTTCTAAAAAATGTTATCTTAAACACCCATGAATTTAACATTTACCTGAGCAGGTAACTTAAGAAATGCTTGTCTTTAAATAATACCGTAGTTTTTCCAATGAACAGTAAGTTAAATGAAGTCTGTACAATGAATCATTACTGAGAATATGAGTAATCTGGTAAAAATCAGATCCTCGATCCGCTCCTCTTTTTTTTATTGTGACTGTCGCAAAAAAAAAAAAAAACCAAAAAAAACCCCAGAGGAGTGGATCTAGGATCTGATTTTAATCAGATTGAGAATATGAGGGAAATAGAAAATTGTACTTTGTACAATGAAATGATTTTAATGAAATTTTGAGGCACTATAGAGCAAACTGAATGAAATTTTGATACTGTGTGCTTATTTATTATGAGTGGTATGCATATTATTATGTTGTTGATTTTGAAATGCGAAACTTGATTTTGAATTTTTACCATGAAGAATGCTTGCTTTCATGTATAAGTGTAAGTAAACCAAGTATTCATTCTACTCCTAGATTGAAACCTGTATGAAATTATGGAATTTCTTTGGAGAGATGTTTGATATTTTTTGTCTGTATAAGCAGTACTTGGTGTTGACTTTTATATGTGTTTCTGTATGATTTTCTTTATTTATTTTGATAATCATGATCTTTCAAGGTTGTTAACTTGGAATGGCATAACAATACATTCAAACTTTAATCTTACAGAAGTATATGACAATTTTTGGTCTAATTTTTTAAATATTAATATTTTGAATACTTTTTATGAATTTATACTTTTTTTTTCTAGATAAAACCCATGCACATCTCGTTTCTTTTTGCATTTAAATTTATCATGTGAAGGAAAATTAATTGGTCTCAAACTCTCAATGCATTAAATTGCAATTTTGTTCTTGCCAAAAAATATATTTTAAGGTTATTCATATTAATATTTGTAATATATTTTATGCTTGCTCTTTGAAACTTTTATGATCAAAGATTTAAACTCACTTATCCATTTTTTGCAAATTTATGATATATATCTTTCAGCAGAAAAGAAAGGGGAAATAACTAGCTGTTATATTTTTTAATAATTTTCTGCTATCCCAGACATTCACTTCTGTATAAGCTTGCTAATATCACTAAATTCAATTAGCACGCTAAATAGTGTGTTTATATTCATTATAATTAGATGCTTCTTCTTATGTTTTTCTTTTAAGGTAGATATTTACTCCATATATTTAGAATTAGAATATTAACTTGAATGAATCCTTTAAGTACCCAATGTAATTTTTTTTTAACACTTTTCAAAAAAAAAAAAAAACAATCCTGACTTTGGCCCATTGCAGAAGTGTCTGCGGAGGATGATTTTGTTCAATCTGAAAAAAATATCAAGCTGTATATGAAATATATCTTATTAACTAAGGAAAATAAACTTCATAAAAAAAGCATAGAGAGCTATGTTTTGAAACAGTACATTGTACTAGTAGGAATACACAAGAACATCAAATACTCTATTCATACATTTGATAATAAATGAACATAAAAATAATCTCAAAATTTAAGAGAATTTTGGGTTTCATACAGTTATAAACTTATTACTGCATTGGAAGGTAATTGCATGACTTTTGCATTCTTTACAGGTAAGATAATATTGTGAGATATATTTTTACCTGTCTTTCTTTGATTTGCAACTTCTCAGGTGAACAAAGAAGGCAAATTCTGTGCCTTTTGTTATTGTTTCTTTATTGTTTCTTGTTGGAACAGACTATGGTAGTTATTACTTCATTGACCAAGATAATGCAATGTACAAAACTGTAAATACAAGTAGTTTTTTTTTATTTTACTCATTTATATAATGCCACTCCTGTAGACAAACTTTTGTACAGAATGAAAAGTTGAATTTACATTTCTTTGTATGTAAAATGAAGTTAATTTTCAGAATTACATGTATTCTCTTGTGAAAATTCCTACAGTAGGTCATGAAGAAATATTCATTTTGATGCCAGATATGTGGTTGTCAAAGTTTGATGTTCAACAAGTTGTTTATTTGTCACTATACCTTAATATACCATTCCAGCATCACCAATTTGTTTAAAGATCAAAGACTTCACAGCAAACATTTGTTTCTCGTATATATTTTTATAAGAAATACATTTGTCTCTCATATTTTTGAGAAAAATATTCGTTTATAAATTGATATTTCTTGATATTTTTGTTTCACCCCGGTAAATCTAGAAAAAGCAGATCTCATATCCATAATATTGATAAAACATTTCCCACAAGACAGCTACTATAAATATAGATATTTTTTCCAGTTCTAATATAAGATAAAGAAAAAGATTTTTTTAATCCAATAGAAAAATTCAATATATGTACATTTTTTTTTAATAGAAAGGATAGCTGCAGTAATAAATTGAACAAATTTTACTTCTGTTGCACAAATGAATAAGTACATTTATTTCAGAGTACTTTAAATTGAGCACATATATATGAAGTACATGGAGTGAATAGCACAACAGTGGTTGGTCCTTGTTTATCCTTTATGTGCAGTTTATATTTTGTTGTTATAGAATAATTGTACTATATATCCAGTGCAAAAGGATCTAAGATATAAATCCTGCCCAAATAATTATACACACAATGGTTAATTCTCAGTTAAACCTTGAGTTTTAATTTGTATATTGTGTTTCTAATTATAGTCTCAAGAATTGGAATTAAAAAGACCTTTCTTTTAATTCATTAACTTATCTTTGAATAAAATTAGATTTTTTTATACACTGGGATAAATTGACTTATTTCATTCCCTGTTTCTTCCAATGTTTGATGTGTTGTTATTATTAAATCATCAGCAACATTTTAATAATTATTCTATGTTGTAACAATGTTCTGTACTAGGGTATGATGGTGGGTAATTTCTATTTGTTTACAGTTTAGCATCTACATAAGATTTAGGGACCAATGCTCACTTTTAGGATTTATGGTGATTTTTCATATTTTTGAAATTTATGTCTGGAAAATTTATTCAATCAGCATATTTTCTTATTTGAAACATTGATTATCATTAATTTAATTTTTATTTGTGTGAGTTGATTTATGCTTGAAGTTCTAAATGTTAGCACATAAGGCATTCACAGGTTGCTCATATCTAAATCACAAATTCTCACAAAATCATGTAAAATTTGTATATATATGTTTTGTCTATTAATATGCAAGCATGTCTATATTTTTATGTTTTAAGGTATTTTTATACAAATTGTGGCATTTTTGTATGATATAAACAATAAATATAAAGATGCCAATTTGTTTGTATTACTTTGCTTTAATTTATCACTGTAGTACTTTTAAAAATATTTCTAAAAAGGCTATACTTTTTAAGACTACATGTATTAACAGTACACTACCAGTATTCAAGAAATATTACGATGTATGAAAATGGAGATAACGAACAGTATTCAAGCTCAAACTCCATTAAAACAATACAAATGAGGAGCAGACTTCCAAAACATCAGAGGTGGGATCAGGTGCCATGGAGGAGTGAGCATCCCCTACCGACCGGTCACACCCGCCGTGTACTCCAATTCATGATCAGGAAATAACAGGAAAATTCGTCGAAAATTCAGTGTGTAAATAATGGCCTAAAAACGTCAGTCAGCATCTCGGTGTACATAATTTTTAGCAACAAGAATACTCAAGTGATTAATTGAGAGATTTTAAATGCTTTAAGGCATGCTTCAATTATCATGGTCTGGGATCTAATTAAATGCTCCTTTTAATGAACCTACTGTATATATATTAGTCAATACACCGTTTATTTCCCAGAAAAAGTTTGGAATATTATATTAACATCTGTGTTAGTCTAACTGATTTCTGTCAATATGTGTTTCATCAGAATATACACATAAAAATTGTGTATAAAGGAGATGGGTGAAGAAGGTGTGAAGAATGCCTATAACTTCAGATATGTGAAAATCATATTCAGTTTGTGAATTTAGTATTTAGAGTAAAGTTATCATTATTGAAATATATGAAATTATGATAAACAAAACTTTTCTGAGGAAAATTTTCTCGGTAAAAAATATTCTGTTATTAAAAAATACGTGGTATATCTGGGGTTCGAACCCTATAGCAATAAAAATCCTGAATATCATTTTCCTTTAAGACTAACACGCTATCTACTACGCTACAAACTCCTGATGAATAGCGGCGTGTAAATTATGTTTGTGATATGACCCTTGATTAATGGACATCAAGTATTTCTCAGAAGATGCGAATGTTGTGTCATAAAAGTGTATTTTTAAGGTATAGTAGGTCTTTGTTCCATGTTTTTGTTAACAAAAAATGTATATTTTTACGCTAACTTTGAGGATAAACTTTAAAAAAAAATGGAAGGAAGACCCACTCATATCGAAAAATTGTTATGGTATGAGAAAATGATCCTCTTTGCCCTCTTTAGTGTGTGTATGCTATTTCGTAGGCAAATAATTTCTATCTGTGTGAGATTTCTGCAAATTTTGGAGATTTTACATAAATTATACTTCAATGTTAGATGAAATATGAAAGAAAATTTTGTTATATAATTGAGATTTTTTTTTTACCTTCATGTTTGTTGCACTATAGGCACTTCGCTCGCCCTGTCGCCATCTTTTTTTCTTCTTTTTTTTTTAATGGAAAAGTATATTAATCACTTCTTTTTGTTTTGCTGAGTGTGCAGGCTGCAGTTACAGTAGCTGCAGAACTGTAGCTCTAAGAAAAAAGTTATTGAGAAACCGGAGAGCTACAGTGCCACCCATAGAAAATATACTGTATATTGCGCACAGAAAGTTGCGCTGGATTCTGGATTCATGTCTCCAAATTCTTACCTCAACTACACAAAAATTTTGATTTCAAAAAATTCCTTAGACCTCTATCAACTTCTCTCATAGTTGACAACTGCACGAATGGCGTTGGACCGAATTTGTCTTGCCACCGAAAATGGCATTTTAGATAAGCGAAATTTTCCATTGTCTCAATTTCAGGCCCAGGAGGGCTATTAACAACGGTTATTGGAAAGTTTTGTTGTGAAAATAATATACGAATATGTTAGAAACACACGGTTAGAAATATTTTGACGTGACAGTTTAAATATAGGGGGAAGCAGCGCACTTTTTTTCACTTGGTGGAACTGTAGCTCTCTGGTCAACCATCCCAATTTGTTTAGCTACAGAAATAGGGCAGGTTCTTAAATAAAAAACATTTATTGATTGGATTCGAGGAGAATATGCGTTTTGTCGGACCCAAGAACCAAACTTTTGCCTGGGGCCCTAGGCTGAATGCAACTGTTTTGGTTCGAGGGTTTAACAAATCGCATTTTGTCTGAGAGCTAGTCATTATATATTTTGTTTTTGTGATGATTAGAGATAATTCAAGCTAGAAATTGGGAATTCTGTAGTGGAGAGAAAATCGAGGATATAAAGTCAATAGCCAATGAGAATCAAGTATGCTAATTAGAAAAGTATAAAAACGCAGTCTTCACAGTGCAACATCCTCACAGCGTCCCGAGTAAACACATTGCCGTTAGACCCCTGACAAATTTCATACGATTTTCTACGGGCTGACTTCAGCAACGACTTTTGCAGAGAGGTCAGTCATTAGGACAGCTGCCGAGAAAAACTAAAGATCTGGTGAGACAAGATTAGATGTGACTGAACAAGTCTTTTCTTGCTATCTTACATTTAAGTTAAACTTTCAATTAAAATAAATTTAGTTATAAATGA